TTTTCCTTTCAAAATCAATATCATTTTATGATTTCGATATAAATTTTATATTTTATTTTAGGTTTATTGGTTATCAATGTGTATATAAATTTAAAACAACAATTAAAAAGAAATGGATAAAGTATTATATTACTATTAGTCATGTATTGATTTAGAAAATTCCCATCAACCGAAGTTGCTCGCATAGCTAAGTTGATTAGCTTCTTTGTAATTTATCGCAATGTCTTCCACCTATACCAATTCTTATTTGTCTAGGGATAAAAGAAAGAAAAAGCCTATATTGACCATGTTTAATGAATGCTAATCAACTTATTAAATTAATTAGGGAGAATTGCTAGTTGCCAAATGAAGGAATACAAGAAGTGGGCAATGATGCAAGCATCTATACTATGCAACAAATAAAAAATTATTCCTAAGTCTAATCTTCAAAACAAAATCTTAGGCAAATCTTCATAAAGCATGAGAAGACATTAATTTAAACAGAAATATTATGGTATTAAAAATTGTATAGCTTATTCTATTTTTCAGGTGAATCAAGTCATGAGAGAATCTTATTTTAATAAAATAACTCTAATGAAATGCCATATGGTTTGGACAGTTGTTCCATTAAGACCCACTGCTCTGTAACTTAAAAGGTAGATCAAGACAATTAACTAAAACATTAGGTGTTGTGATTATGTTTACTCGTACAACCTACGGCCCCTGATTGGCGGACCAATTGGTGTCGCATGCAATCAAAAGCCATTTCCTTTCTATCAGGTCTTTTATTTCATTTTTCTTATAAAAATGTACTACTATGTCAATTGAGTGAAAGAAGAATTCCAAATAAGTATGCTGTCAACAATCATCTTATATACATCCAATAAGATGAGGAATCCCTCATTTTATAAACCCATTATGTTTTTTTTCTCTCTAAAGTTTATCTGTGGTGGCTACTAGGTGGGTGGGTTGGCTTTTTATAACATTCGATATAATAATATTTATATTTTTATATAAGATGTATATCTACAAACTATTTCCACCTCACCTTCTTAATTATTATATTCGTTTATATTGCCATCGAGCAGCTTAATATCAATACAAAAACCATTTATGAGAAGGTAGTTTTTTTTGGTAAAATATGAGAAGGTAGTTACTAGTTTAGTCTACTTAACATCAATAAAAAAAAATCTCTGAGAAGATAGCTAGTCTACAGTGTGTAACAGTGTAAGTAAATATCCATCCAACTCTAGTGTTGCCCGGCTAACTCTATTATTGTTTATATTTAAGGAAAGCTATATCTTGTAAGAGTTGTGCCAAGTAGAACAAAATGTGCATCAAAACATTTTAAGAGTACGACTAACTCATTCTATGTAAAAAATAAAGAAACTCATTCTATGTAGCCAATGTTTAGACATTCTCCACGCATCTCGATTTCTAATATGTTCTATTAAAAAAGCAAATACATATGAAAACAAAAGAACAAAGACGTGTTAATTCACACAATTTCTCTATAAAAACAATCTAACTTACTCAATTTTTTTCTATTAAATACTATTCTATGTAAAACTTACTAGCAAGACATTCTGTTTCTATATAGTTAATACATCGTTTATTACACCAAAAGGATGAATTCTACTTATTTACGTTAAATTTTAGAATGAAAACCTGCACATGCATGTTTAAGTGAAAAATCGATAAAATTTAAGTTGAATTAATTTACATTTCTTAAGTAGGTCCAAGAAAATAGTTTAGAGTATCCAATGGTGGTCCCCGAAATTTGCCTCTCTGATTAATCGAATCCTTGCTTCTCTTCTAGACGACTCCACGAGCACTTGAATCCTCATTTATATCATTTCAGTATTTATTATAGGAAAAGAAAAGATGACCACCTAGAATGACAAGACCAAGGTTATATTAAACTATACCATATAGCTAATGGATCAATAGTAAACAACTATGTATGGATCTAAATGAAGAGTCGTAATTTCTTAACTACAAGCTATCCAACTTGATGTGTTCAAAAAGAACAAAAAAAGCTATTCATATTGGTTCTCTGTTCTTTTTTTTTAGCTTTTCCTTAGCCTTTTAGTTGATGTTACCAGCCTTTTGTTTTTAGGTTGTTTCAGGCGGTATATTTGGTTTTGGTTCCCTGTTGGGTCTCCTGATCATTTTTCGTATCCGGTATATAGTATATACTAATGAAATCGGTTAATTAAAAAGTATTGACTAAATTAAAAGAAACAGTTGTTTCTTACAGTTTAATTTTTATATTCATAAACAATATGGATACATAACATTTATAAAAAAAAATCTTTCAGTGAAAATTAGAGATCAAAACGTTAGAAATGAACAATTTCAAGAACGCACAAGAAATTAAATCGGTGGTAACCATTTAGAAATAAACATATATGGGTTGGATACATACAATATTGGGCCTTTGCTAAAACTTTCAGGTTTGGGGCTTATACTCCGATCTGCTAAATGAAGAAGGTGCACTCTCCGTGGGTTAATACAAAAAAAAGTAACAACAAATTACGGAGACACCCAAGATGCAACGACTTTGTGTATAGTATAGTTTGGTCAACTAATTAGTCACTTTTAGTGCTTGAGTTACTTTAAAGAGTGTTGACAAAAAGATACTATAAGGACTGTATTTTAGCATGTATATATCTTTGGTGCACGATGACTGAGACAATACTTTAAAATTATGAGGATGATTGTTTGTAGTTTTTGGTTTGGTTTTTGGTTTTTGTTTTTCCAAAAATCATTTTTCACCCAATCAAGATTTTCATAAAATGGATTCCCTAAAATATAGGGAAACTTGTTTTTACAAATAACTGTTTTTTTAACACAAAAGCCAAAAACCAAGTTTTTATAGTTTTTGTAAACACACGATGGGTTTTTCAAAAAAGATAATTCAAAAACAATATTTTTTACAATATTTATTAATATAAGATAATAAGAAAATGGATAATAGCTGTATACTAGTAAGAAGCATTTGATTACACAATATTAAAATAATTGATATTAATACCATTCTTTAAATTTGTCAATAAAATTAAATTAATTATTTAAAATGTTATTTTCTAAAAACTGTACTAAAAACTAAAATTTTCAAAGCTTTATTGTACTAAAAACTGTTATAATATTTAAAATGTTATTTTCTCTAATAATAAAATGATGTAAACTAAAAGTGCATATAAAAATTTTAAATTTATCAATAAAATAAATTTAAAATTCTGAAGTTAGTCATTACAAAAAGATATATATATATATATATATATATATATATATATATATATTACTGATAAATGTTGTGGTATTATATGAAAGGCATTCAAAATCAAATTTCCTATATCTATGAGATTCACATTAGTTTTATTTAAAAATATTTTATTAAATAATTTACGTGTCCTTTTGATGATAGTATTTTATTTTTTTATTTATTCAAAAAAAGTATTAATATTTTCTTCATTTGATTATTTTTAAAAGCAAAAACCAAAAACCAAAAACTAAAATCTAAAACAACCATTCATGTTTTTTGAAAAACTAAAATCTACTACAAAATCAAAAACCAAATACTAAAAACCAAAATCTAAAAACCAAAAACTAAAAACTAAAAACCAAAAACCAAAATCTAAAAACTAACAAAACAATCATCACCTATATTTTGGATTAAAAGTTGCTCCAAACCGCAATCAAAGTACCAAAATACATTCACAAGGGTATATGTCAATGTCTTCATTTTTTTGGTTGATGTACAAAGTCACTAGAAAAGAAATATAAACTTTGAATGTATATGCGACACATTCGATCACTACTATTATGGATTTTTTTGTTCAACCCTCGATTTCTGGTTGACATCATGAAGATTTGATCTATCATTCATTGGTCCATATCGTTTGAAAAATCAATTCACTAATCAAACTTGAAAATCGCAGTTTAAAAAAAAAAGAAAAATGAGCATATATCCATTGTAACATTTGATTTCATACGTCATCGGCAGTTTTTCTTTTTACTTGTAAAAAAGGGTTTTTAAACCAAAATCTCTCTGAACTAAACCTATTGACAAGTTTGAGTTGACAAAAGAAATTCAATATATTTTCTAGAAACAAAAACAAGTAACCTTTTATAAATAATTTATTTATTTTGAGTGGGAAAGAAAAAGCAAAAGCAATCTCTAAGATTTGATACGCCGTGGTGTCCAAAAGAGTGAAACAGCAAATTATGTTTGGAGAAAAAGAGGAAAATTCCAATGCCTTAAAAAGAAATGTTCGAACGAATATTAATGGGCCCGGTTTTAGATTTTCGTGGGCCCCGCGAATCCTAATTTTAATGTGGACGTCAAATGCATTATTATTTGTCCACCTTCCTGATTGTTTTTTTTTAACCGTAATAATAAGTAAAAACTCTGGTAAGAATAATGAGCCGGAAAACTGATTTGAACCGGTTTATTTAAACCGCTTTTGTGAATTAGGCACTTACCACTTTTCATGTTCAGTTACTGTTGATCCATTATCAGGTTTTCACATACACTAAAGCGATATAATTGGTCAATATCTCACTAGTTTTTTTTTTTGGATTCCTTTGTACGGATTCCACCTCTATTATATATTCGATTTAGGACTATTTTTTCTCTATGATAGTATTCGGCTATTCGCATAGGCCCCCACCGGATTTTCAGAAATTTCAATTGATTGATACTATTTTTTCCAAAATAAAAGTTCGATTTTCAACCCTAAAAACACGGTATAAAACTATATAAATAAAAACTATTTTTTCACATGAATGTGAACCAAAGATTTTGTTGGATTTTCCTCGCTGGAGAAGCAAAAAAAAAATATATAATTAAAATAAAACAAAAAGACACACTCAAAAAGTTTGATTTTTAAGAGAAAAAAAAATTAGGAATATAAAAACTGTCTGAAAGAAGGAGAAGAAGTGTGAGCTCTTCTTCTCTCTTGTGGTGTATTTTAATATCCTTCTTCTCTCAGTTTACTACTACAACTACTCGTTCTATGGCCAGAGACGGTGGCGTTTCTTGCCTACGGAGTTCAGAGATGATGAACGTCGGTATCAGAGGAATGGAATCTCCACCGTTGGATGTAGATGAAGTTCATGTCTTGGCTGTTGATGACAGCCTCGTTGATCGGATTGTCATTGAGAGATTGCTTCGTATCACCTCTTGCAAAGGTCCTCTTAACTAATTCTTGATTTAAAACATCTTCATTTCTTCTCGTCGGAAAATTATTTAAAAAATAAATATTTATTCGGTGGTTCTGTTTCAGTCACGGCGGTAGATAGTGGATGGCGTGCTCTAGAGTTTCTAGGACTAGACAACGAGAAAGCCTCTGCTGAATTAGATGTAAGTCTTTGAATTTTCGAAGAGTTTTTTTTTTTATATAATTAATGATCAAGATTTTGATTTTTTTTTTAAGTCTTTTTATTACCGATTCCTCAGAGATTGAAAGTTGATTTGATCATCACTGATTACTGTATGCCTGGAATGACTGGCTACGAGCTTCTCAAGAAAATCAAGGTCTGATTTTTTTTTCTGGACGTTTTAGTATGTAATTTGAATCCTGTCTGAACAGTGTGTAATCTGAAACAGGAATCGTCCAGTTTCCGACAAGTTCCGGTTGTAATAATGTCGTCAGAGAATGTCGTAACGAGAATCGACAGGTGGGTTTTGCAATAAATTTTCAGACTTTTTTGTTGGGTTTTTGAGAAACTGTTGATTGATCCAAAACTGATGTTGGCAGATGTCTGGAGGAAGGTGCGGAGGACTTCTTACTAAAACCGGTGAAACTCGCCGACGTGAAACGCCTGAGAAGCTATTTAACCAGAGACGTTAAAGTTTCAAACGGAAACAAACGGAAGCTCCCGGAAGATTCTGTTACCGTCAACACCTCGCTTCCTCCTCCACCGCCACCGTTGATAAACTCGTCTGATTCGTCGGACTCTTCTCCGCCGTTGACTATCTCGCCTGAATCGTCGGACTCTTATTCGCCGTTATCTCCCGTGGAGATCTTTTCCTCGCCCCTCTCATCTCAATTAGACGAGGAAGATGATGTGTTGACATCGTCGCCGGAGTCTTCACCGGCGCCGGAGGAATCTCCGATTCGACGGCAGAAGATGGAAAGCCCCGGATTAGATTAATAAAGCTTGTTTTTTTTTACTTAATCCGTGTAATATTATTCTCCGTTAACTTTTTTTACCTTTGACGGTGCTTTTAATTGCACGTTGACTTGACGCCGTCAATTTATAGATCTCCTATTAATCTCGTTCCACGTGGGCTTTTCTGTTTATAAAAGCTTTTCGAATTTCCTATAATGATTTTAATTATCAATGCAGAAAGTTATGGTTTTGACTTTTTAAGTTAAATTAAAGAGGAAATGGTAGGGAAAAAAACCCTTCATACTATCTGCTCATATTGTAATTTGTAAATACGTTCACATGTTTATTATGATAACTAAACTCCAATATGTATGAAGAAAATTCAAGAATTAAAGAGCTAGCGTTTTTTTTTAATTCTAAATACATAAAATAACTAGTAATTAATGAATAACTTTTTTCCAAAAAAAATTAATGTCTGAATTCGAAACTATTTATTATAACCAAGACTTGAGAGCTTGAACAGGTTACGAGTCCTTTCTTGAAATAATCCTATAATAGTCAAGTAGTACTAAAATACTTAAGCATATTCTTTAATGAGAAGTGTAGTATAGCTTAACTCAAAAAACAATCCACGGTATTAATATTACTTGAAAGAAGTGGATGCATCATTGATAGTCTCATGCATGTGTGGTCGTGTAGAGAGCAAGCAAGAAATATATACTCCTAGAAAATACAGAAAAAGGAGATATGTAAAGCTGGAAATGGGCAACTCTTGTTCCCTTTCTTAAGGGCATATATCTCCATAAATAGTCTTTATAGATCTGTTTTCTCTGCACTCATTTTAGTGCTTTTTTGACGGTAGAATGTGTTTTTACAACACCATATGGATCCGAGTAACCCTACTAGATCTTCACGTGGATGCTGTATAGTACATTTGTAACTCTGAATGTACTGTCTAATGGACCCTACGCGACGCAACGAGCATTGGGATCACATGCCAGAGCTAAGGTTGACGTATAGAAGGTGTACATCTTAGGTTGACGTATGATCTTAGGTGTGGGTTTGTTATCTAAATTTTCAATATCATGAGAGTTCTTTCTCTTTAATCAACCATTGAACAACACATATATATTTCTTATTTCCCACCAAGTTATTCTGGTCAGTCACAGTAAAAAATTACTGACTAGAAGTTTTATTTCAAATTTAAAATAAAGGATCATATTATAGTATAACCTCTTCATGTACTGTAAATGGCACATCCAACCACATCGGTAGGATGAATTCAATTTTAAAACTTGTAGATGCAATGTATATACGAACAAGGCATTAATAATTGTCGACAACAAAATCATACCAAAAGGATACTCCTCACGTTTGGCGTTCTTAAAAAAAACTAGATTTTGATCCGCGCAACCGCGCGGGTGTTTGTTTTCGTTTATAGTATAAAATTTTTGTTTTCACTTGTAAATTGATATATATTATAGTAATCACATATTTACGATATGTATAGTAAATGTTTTTCAAACATAATAATATTATATAATACGTGTTTTAATCAAATAGATTGTTTCAAATTTTCTATATTATACATGTTTTTCAAACATGTGTTTGTTTCTTCTTCTATATTTTATTGTTTGTTAGATGAGTATTTCATTTTTAGATAAAGTAATATAAATAGAGCTTGATTAAATATTAGTATACTTTAATATGCAAAACTTCGAAGAATTTTTTGCTAAAAACTAAACTGATAGCTTTATAAATTAATATTATAAAGAATTTTATTAAAAAGGAATTTTTTAAACAATTTCTTTTTTTTTTAAACAATATAATTTAAAAATTTTACATCGAAATAAATGTATCTAGTGTATTTAGCATGTAAATTTTGTTAGGGTATATAAATATTCCATATTACGAATCTGTGATTTTTGTTAATATTTTGTTGATGCATTTAACTATTATTGACATATTTCCTTATAAATAATAGAAGATTCCTAAACTTATATCTATTGACATATTTTGCGTGACTAAGTTGGAAGGTGTGGGGTAATTTATCAAAATTAAATTGTTAAGCGTATCTTTGTTATTATAGATATGGTTTTTTATAAGATATAATAATGATAAGATGATTAGAAAGTTAATGTAACATGACTTTCTAGTAATAGTCTATTTTTTAAAAAAATCACACATGAAGTCAAGTCATGACTTCTGTTTTAATATATAAGATGCTTTAAAGTTTAAATTACAAAAAATTCATTGGGTTGCGTTTTGGCCCTTCATGTGGGGAATGGATCTCTATCTTTTCTCTTTTGTCATCTTTGGCTACTGTAGTGTCCCGATCGCTGCTCCATGTGTCTTTCCACGTTTTTATGCTTTACTCTTGACATGTATTTTTTACTTTTGTCCGATGGATCATGGATGCGCTATTTGCTACATTTACAATGTTTTCTACAAATTTTGTTATAAGAAAAAATTGAACCTTAATTACGAAAATTATTCACACAGGAGAGATCATATCTCGTTAAACTAGTCTATTCTGGATTTTTTTTTCTCTCTAAAGAGTATTCTACGGTCCTATTAAAAGAAGTTTCTACGTTGCTATTTGGTATTATTCAAACTCATTTTTTTTTTGGTAAAACTCATGATCTTGAATATTCTCGTTATTTGGGTGGCCAACCATTAAATAACTGGAATTAGTTTATTTTTGCGTTAAATATTGTAAGACCATCAACAAATATTTACTTGTGTGTTTGTCTTTTTTTTAGTATGGACTGAAAAGGCATTTTTATTATTAAGCCATTAATTCGTTTTAAGAATTATAAATGAGTCAACCCCATTTTGATTTATAATTTGAAAATCAATTTTTTTCAAATGCACGTTAATCACAAATAACCAAATCATGCATTTGTTTCTTTTAAAACAATGAAAGTACGTTCATTAGTATCTTGATATTAAAAAATATTAACTCAATGAAATTGAACTCTATATAAGGTGAGACTGAACCTTCATTTCATAATCACTAACTAGTGCTACATAATCCTAGTTTAATTCCAAAGTGTGCGCTTTAGAAAAAGAAAAAAAGATTTACATTCCACAATAAGTGCTACGGATTCCTAGTTTATTTTCACATGGTTTGAGGTTATGAATATTCAGTTTGTATATGAATTAAGACAGAAATACTCAAATACTATTCCCAACAGCCTTTGCTTAACTAAACAATGTAGTTGATGATAACTGATAAGATGGATGAAGGAAAGTTTTCGTTTTCTTTGCTTAACGGTTAACAAAACTTCACCAACAGCCTTTGCTTAAACAAAAATTTTGCAACACCACAATGAAATTGACCTCACTTTTCTTTCACTTATTCTATAATACAAACTGAAGAGAAAATATGAAAAATGAAAATGATAATTTAACGGCATGTTATTAGACATCATTATCTCAAATTGATCATTTATACACTCACTGACTAACCTTCATTTAACTCATATCTCCAAATGTAAAAAAAAAAACTCAAAATAAGAACTAATCCCATGCTTCTAAACTTACTATTAGCGTTCATACTTCTAATGGGTCGGGTTACATCCGACCCGGACCCGCTCCAAGACTACTGCGTTTCTACTCCTCATTCACCTCACCAACATATCTTCCTCCACGGAGATCTTTGCAAAGATCCCACAAAAGTCAACGTCTCCGACTTCACAACCTCCGCACTATCCAAACCCGGAAATACACGGGCCAACCCGTTTATGATCAACGTCACTCTCACTACAACCACCAATCTCCCTGGTCTCAACACAATGGGCCTCACGATGGGCCGTATCGACTTTGGCGCCTCCGGAGTAGTCCCACCGCATGTACACCCACGCGGCTCCGAAGTGACGGTCTGCCTAGACGGTGTGCTTCTGGTCGGGTTCGTGGATACGTCGGGTCGGGTCTTTACACAGGAGCTTCATCCTGGTGAGACGTTCGTGTTTCCTAAAGGGTTGATACATTTTCTATACAACATTGATACAGTGAGCTCGGCTGTGGCAGTCTCTGGGCTGACTAGTCAGAATCCTGGGACACAGTTTGTGTCTTTGGTCTCTTTTGATTCGAAGCTTCCTATTCCACAAGACGTTTTGAAGAGGCTTTACCGTATTAATGACCAGGAAGGATGTTGCTAACATCCGCAAAAGTATTTGAGGCTGATGGTTGTGTTTCAAAACTCAAATGGTATATATATATATACAACTCTTTATATTTTGTTGAGAAAAGTGTATTTAAGTTTGAAACTAATTGCTAAACTATGTGTAACTATATGATCATATGTACATGTATATATTTAATAAACATAACTATGAGATGAAATATTTGTTGAACTTCGTTAGCATAATGTCTAAAACTATTGGATGACCTAATATGAACATAAATGGTATAAGTTCTATTTCTGTTGGACGTGCTCTACTCTCCTAAGTAAAGTTAATTTAACATGATTTGAGCTTTGTTATAAGAGACAAGGATTTTGGGTCCATAATCTCTTAATCATTCAAAAAATAATTTTGCTGAACGAAGGAACTACGACTCCCTGATGTAGTGATGTTGGCAACTTCCCTAAACAGACCATATATTATGATAAGAGTATTCACACAATGTCCAAAACTGGCTGCTCCGAACGCAAACACAAAAACTGGCTTAGTTAATCATGACCCATATGATGAATTGATGATCCCACTCTACCAACAAACCTTAGCATAATCTCTAAGAGCCACAGAGCCTTTACCACTAAGAACGTCAACACTTACACCTGAAACAAGAAAACACACAATGGTTAAGTCAGTAAGACGAATGCATATTTAAACCATCCCAATGATCTGGAAGAAAAAAAGAGAGAATTTGAATGTGAACTTTTGTCTATGGCTATTTGGCTTTAAGTAAGATACACACACTCGAGACATCATTGCACTGCTTTACATACAAGTGCTCAGACAGCCAATGAGTTTGATATACAGATTCTTTTTTTTTTTTTTTTTTGAATGAATGTTAAATTCTTATTCAAAAAAACCCTTGTTACATTTTACAATGCATCTTTAACTAAATCTCTTTATAAAAATTAATCAACAAAATTTAATCCTTCTCCTCCATAATCTTCAAACTCCAATCAGTCTCCAGTAACTGGTCTTGTGAGGAACCAGTATTGTAAACCACCTGCCAATCTATCATCTCCAGCCCTTTGAACAGATGAAAATCTGTTCCTGATTCTTCTATCCACCATACTGATCATTTTATTTAACGGTATGGGAGCCTCACCATGTCTCCTGCTATTCCTTTCCAGCCACAGCCCATGTATAGTTGCTTGGAAAACATATCTAAGAGTAAACAACTTGATATTGTTCTGACCCGTTGAGATCATTGTCACAATCTCTGGCCATCTATTAGTGTACTCGTCCTCCATTAAACCTCTCGCCAAATTCTCCCACACTTCAGCCGAGTACCCACACTCAAAGAAGAGATGATTTCTTGTCTCCACAGGCTCATCACACAGAGAACATGCGACATTCATATTGCCATTCCAAGTCATCATTCTATCCCCAGTAGCAAGTTTATTCTGAATAGCAATCCAAGTGAGAAAAGCGAATTTAGGCGTAGCATGAGTGAACCAGATGCACTTAGACCACTCACAGTATTCGCCTCTAGTTCTCAGCAAATCCCAAGTCAAATGAGAGGAGAATTTGCTTTTAAACTTATCATCCTTCCACTTCCATAATCCAATATCATCATCATTTGAAGCCTTCTCTTTATACTTCCAGATTTCATCTTCTATCATATTAAAAATCTGTTCCCTATGCCATCTTCTTCGATGATGCATCATTACATCCTCAACAGTAGCATCCGTTCTTATACCCATATCTATATAGCCTCTCGTACCGATGATATCCATTAAACACCCCAGCTCACACCAAGATTCATGCCAAAAGGAGGTAGACTTCCCACTCTTAACATTCACCTTATAGAACTTTTTTCCTGTGGCTCTGTACTTAAGGATCTTCCCCCACATCCATGATCCTGCTTGTGTTTTCTCCTTCACTGTCCAAAAAGAGTTTTTACGAATAAGGTACACCTGAATCCATTGCACCCACAACGAATTTTTCGCAGTTAGAATCCTCCAAATAAGCTTCAAGCAACTCACATCATTGACTTCCTTTAGCGGCCTTATACCCAAACCTCCCTCCAACTTAGGTTTACACACAGCCGTCCAAGCAATCTTTGCCTTCTTTGTATTGAGAGCTGGACCCGACCAAAGGAAGGCAGAGCAAAGCTTCTCTATTTCTCGAAGACATGAAGCAGGTAAACGGAAAGCAGCTAACCAGAAGTTTGCCAAACTCGAGATTACTGATTTTATTAACTGCAGTCTTCCTCCAAATGAGAGAAACCGACCTGTCCAAGAACATATTCTCGATCTAATCTTTTCAACCAATGGTAGATAATCACACACATTCATCCTTTTAGTGAGAAGAGGTAATCCTAAGTATTTAACCGGGAGATTACCATTCTCAAAAAGAAATCCAGCGCAAGCTTGTTGAAGTTGTGTGGAAGATCCTGCCATATAGAGAGTTGACTTTTCAAGGTTGATTCTAAGACCAGATAGCTTCTCAAACTCCTCAAAAACCTTTAGGATACCTTCAAGCGATCTCCTAGATCCATCGGCGAAGACCATGAGGTCATCAGCGAAACATAAGTGAGTTAGACTGATATTCTTGCACCGAGGGTGGTAACCGAAGTTCCTCTTCACAGCAGCCTCATCTATTAGCTTTGACAATACATTCATGCATATAACGAATAGGTAAGGCGACAACGAACATCCCTGCCTTAAGCCCCGAGCACTCTGAAAATATCCGGTTAACTCACCATTTATCTGAACAGAGAACGAAGCAGTGCTGATGCATAGATTTATCCAATGGACAAATTTTTCTGGAAACCCCAAAGCCTTCATAGTGTTAAGCAGAAACGACCACTGAACAGAGTCGAATGCTTTCGAGATGTCTATTTTCATACAACATCTTGAAGCAGTCCCATCTTTATGGTAGTCCTTCACTAATTCTGTTGCAAGCAAGAGGTTTTCCATTAGCAGACGATCACTAATAAAAGCTGATTGATTCAGCGCAATGAACTTCGGAAGAATGCACTTCAGTCTGTTAGCCAAAATCTTCGAAATTGCCTTGTATAGAACATTGCAGCACGAGATAGGACGATAGTCTTTAATTTCCTCAGCCTTTTCTTTCTTTGGAATCAAAGCCAAAATGGTTGAGTTTAAACCTTTTGGCAGAAATCCAGTCTCGAAGAAAGATTGAATAGCAACCGTCACATCCCGACCAATAATCCCCCAAGCTGATTTAAAAAACTCCGTAGTATACCCATCAGGACCGGGGGCCTTATCTGTTGGCATGCTGAACATTACTTTCCTCACTTCCTCAGCTGTTACCTCTTGCTGCAACTGAATCCTCTCCGTATCACTGCATCTGAAAAGTAAGAGTTCCTCCAATCTCTCGACAGATACCCCCTCAAAACCCTGCGGCGTGAAGGATAAAAACTCAGAGAAGTACTTGACCGCTTCCTGTTTAATACCATCTCCAGTTATTTTATTTCCTTCCTGATCTCTTAGCTCATGTATAGCATTCCGAACCTCCCTGATCTTTACCGCGTTATGAAAGACTTTTGTGTTTTGGTCACCCACATTGAGCCAATGTAACTTTGATCTTTGCTTGAAAAATTCTTCCTCTAAGTCAGCAAGTCTCTGCCATCTTCTCAGGGCAGCTGTTTCTTCTCTAATTGCATCCTCCGAAGGTCTCTCCATAGTAACATGTTGCTTCGCACAGAGGAATTCATAAGCTTCCTTTACTCTTCTTGGAAGATCTCCTAACTTCCTTTTACTCAATTCTCTCAATGGATATTTTAATGCTTTTAGCTTTTTTGTAAGCCTAAACATAGCTGAGGTTGAAACGAACAGCGGATTTGAAACTCCCCAAAAATCCTCCATCAACTTAACAAACTCCGGCATCTTCCCAATCACATTTGTAAATTTAAATGATCTCCTCTTCCTTTCATCTTCCCTCTTAATCTGTGTTCTAATTCTCAAATGATCAGAACAACCTCCCGCCTCAAAAACACTATAAGCTTGTGAATATTGATGCAACCAAACATCATTCACTAGAACCCGATCAAGCTTTTTACAGATAAGTCCAGTTTCCCTTTTGTTGCACCACGTGAACAGAGGCCCCTGGTAGCTATTATCTGAAAGACAACAGTGCCTAGTGACTCTCTGGAAATCCCTCATGCCTCCCGATATACGTGGATCATCATCAAAACCAGAGTGCTCACTACCTGCCAGAACTTCATTAAAGTCACCTTTGATTATCCATGGTTTATTTCTAAACATAGACGAGTCGTGATGATTACACATATCTTCCCACAACTCCTTCCTTTCCTCAATTGTATTCCTAGCATACACAAAAGAACAAAAGAACTCCTCCTCCAACTCCTGAAGCTTAACAGAAACAGTAACGATTTGATCACTCTTGAAGACCGGAGTTAATCGAACATTCGGTTTCCAAAGCACCCAAATCCTTCCTAGAGCATTAAACTCATAGTTGGACAAAAAATCCCACCCCTTAAACACCTCTGCAACAATTTTAATCGCCTTCCTCTCTTTTACTCTTGTTTCCAAAAGACACCCAAAACTCAAATTACTACTCTGCCACCACCTACTCATCACAGAATGCTTTGTTGGTTTGTTAAACCCTCTCACATTCCAAGAAAAGCTAGCCATTAATGATGATTTTTACGGTAACCTTTTTTACTCATGTTGCTAGGCCCAGGAACCTTCGCAGCTAGAGTAAAATCTGATAGAACTTTATGTCGAGTCTTAGAGTCTCTCGGAAGAATCTGCCTCTGAGACTTTACATCATTTTTTTCTATTACCTCCTCACTAGACGCAATTTCATCACCAATCCCAACATCTCCTTGACTCACCTCATCAACTTTTTCCACTACCAACCTTATACTTTCATTGTCATTATCCTCCTCATCTGGTATACTTAAAGCAGAGAATCTTGAAGGGGTGATTCTGACTTCTTCATGCTGTTCCTGAGTTTTCCCAGAGCTTCGTCCTAACTTACCAGGCGTTACCCAATCCTCTGTTACCTGAGCATCTTCAGACTGCTTTTCATGCGTACTACTCTTCCCATTTATACGCAGCACATCTTCATGTTCTTTCTGAGTTTCCTTATTAATGATCTCCTTATCCTTCTTTTCAGTTTCCTGCTTCTGCTCCAACAACTCTTTTGATTCTGTTTCTGACTTATTAATACACTTCTCCACCAGGTGACCCCATTTACCACAGCCTTCACATTTATCAGGAAGCCACGGATACTTAAAAGCAACTGTGACGTCCTCTCCATTGATTTTAAAATCAATTTCTTTCGGCAATGGCTTGGATATATCAGCTTTGACACAGATTCTAGCAATCTCAAAATTTGTACACGCTATGGTTTCTGGATGCAGAAAATCCGGAATACCTGCTGCACTAGCTATAAAGCTCAAACCCTCCCACGAATACATGCTCATAGGAACATGTTTTAAGAACACCCACAGTGGAGTTAGCTTATTCTCCCCATCCTGCACCGGAGACCAACGAGAAGCTACCATCGGTATCCCTGCTATGTTCCACATCCCCCTTCTAATCACCTTATCCCTCACCACAGAGTTTTGAATCCTTACCCTCATTGTAGTCGAATCCATTTCAAACACATCCAATTTCTGATTCTTGTCTCCAAAAGCCCAGATCTTATTCAATATCACGTGAACCTTCGCTATGTGAGGAGCCGTTTCCAAGAACTTCACAATCACGAAATCATCCCACAACGGAACCGCCTTCTCTACGATCTCCGATGGAACTGTTACAGATTGTTTCCCCTCTGAAATTGATATGTCGAACTCGTATTTTTTAAGTACCTTCTTCTCCTGTGCCACAGAGACCCATGACTTCGCCTTCGAGATGATCGGTGGTGGTGGTGGATCTTCCTGAACCTCCGTAGAACCCATCCCGCCGTCGTAGAAGACATCCGGAATCTTACGATCGAGAAATCGCCTTTACAATCGCCTTTTCGCCTCTTACCAAAACGCTGCCGTTTTTGCAAGCTCGTTTGATATACAGATTCAAAGATTTAGTCTTCTTAATATCGACCAATAACAAATATTATGACAAAATAAAGTTCGAATTCTGGAGCAATCTTGAAATAGTTTGTTTCGTTAAAGACATTGCGCTTTAGGCAACAACAGTGGGCATTTGGTCTAGTGGTATGATTCTCGCTTAGGGTGCGAGAGGTCCCGAGTTCAATTCTCGGAATGCCCCCTTTTTTGAATTTAATTTTAACTTAAACTTCCACCTATCTTCTTCAGGCCACTGACATTTCCACGTATCCATCAAACCCATTATCATTGAAATATTTGGGCGTCCCTGCAGACAACTGTGTGATTTTGCTGATAAGTCCTCATTTCACTAATTTAGTCGACCAAACCTAAAAGCCAACAAATCAGAATTAAAATAAAAACTAAACCAGAACCTTAACCGGGTCATAACATCTGTTTGTCTGTGTCTGAATCTGACTGTCTCGCTCGCAGCAACTTAGTAAGACCAATTATCTGTGTTTTTTTTTTTCATTTTTGTCGACAAGTTCTCATTTCACCAACTTAGTAGACCAAACCTAAAACCATCAAATCCAACAATCCAAACCAAACCAAACCAAACCAAACTTGTACGTTGATATTTGCTTCTCCAAATCAAAATAAAAACTAAACCGGACCTTAACCGGGTCACAACATCTGTTTGTTTCTGTCTCGCTCGCACCAACTTAGTAAACCAATTATCTGTGTTTTTTGTTGACAAGTTCTCACTTCACCAACTTATAAAGTAGACCAAACCTATAACCAACAAATCGAACCAACCAAATTAAAATAAAAACTAAACCGGAACCTTAACCAGGTTATTACATCTGTTTAGTTCCGTCTCGCTCGTCCTCTTCTACTTCCTTTTCGTCTAAAAACTCCAAAAATATCCATTTTCAATCTCTCACCCAAAAGACCAGAGATTTGATCTCTCTGGTTGGATTCATCATCTTCATCCATCATATAAATTGAAGGATCGGTGGTCTTATTCAAATCTCCTCTCAAGATGCCGCCGAACGGAGATCTAGACCGTCAGATCTCCCAGCTGATGGAGTGTAAACCGTTATCAGAAGCAGATGTGAAGACGCTTTGCGATCAAGCAAGAGCCATCCTTGTCGAGGAATGGAACGTTCAGCCCGTGAAATGTCCTGTCACCGTCTGCGGCGATATTCATGGACAGTTCTATGACCTTATCGAGCTTTTTAGAATCGGTGGGAATCCACCAGATACTAACTACCTATTCATGGGAGACTATGTAGGTCTGTCCTCTTTTCTCCCTATTTTTACCTTTTTTAGATCTGTGAATGTTATTTAAAGTTTGCATCTTTTTAATGTCTACAGTGAGTTGCTTTGTGTGAAGAACATGTTTTTTAACAGTTTGGTCTCGTTAAGAGGGAGTTTATGAATAGATTGTGGATTCGAGTTGGGTGAATCTTATGTAAAGTTTGCAGCTTTTAATGTATAAACTATAAAGTGAGTTGCTTTGTGTGTTGTGTAATTGGGAAGAGCGTGTTTTTAGCTGTTTATTCTCGTTAGAGGGAGTTGAAGAATAGATTACGGATTCTAGTTTGTGAATCTTAAGTAAAGTTAGCATCTTTTAATGTATAAAGTGAGTTGCGTTGTGTGTTGTGTTATGGGAATGAACATGTTTTTAACAGTTTGGTCACGTTAGAGGGATGTTTAAGTACAGATTGTGGATTCTAGTTGGTGAATCTTAGATAAAGTTAACATCTTTTAATGTCTAAAGTGAATTGCTTTGTATTCTGGGTAACATTTTGGTGTCGTAACTGTCGTTAGAGGGTGTTGAAGTACAGATTGTGGATTCTATTTGCTGTTCATTTCATTACATTGAGATTTGATTTTTTTTTTTTTTTTGCCATAGTAGTCTTTTTTAGGTCTTGTTACGCTATGTGGTTTATCTTTTTGTCTTACCATTCAATTGCTTGTGATGAGTATTATTACTTTGCTATTTAGTTATCATTTGATTTTTGAACATACTGTGTTCCTTGCAGACCGTGGCTACTATTCAGTGGAAACAGTTTCTCTATTGGTGGCACTGAAAGTGAGATACAGAGATAGGATTACTATCTTGCGAGGGAATCACGAGAGTCGGCAGATTACTCAAGTGTAAGCTTCTTTTTTTTTCTGACTGATCGAAAAAGAGTTACCCTATTTGATTAGTGTATTTTGCATCTCTGTTTCAGGTATGGTTTCTATGACGAATGCTTGAGGAAGTATGGAAACGCAAATGTGTGGAAGTATTTCACTGACCTTTTCGATTATCTTCCTCTTACTGCCCTCATAGAGAGTCAGGTTTGAGCTCTTCTTTCCTGTTGATGTTATGTTTAGGACATTCTTTAATTATAACTTTTGACTTAATCATCTTTTAATGGATTACAGGTTTTCTGTTTGCATGGAGGGCTTTCACCATCTCTGGATACCCTTGATAATATCCGAAGCTTGGATCGTATACAGGAGGTATTACCTTCTTCTTTCTGGCTTAAGTCTTTAGTTTGGATTGGATTAGAAGAGTTATGAGTTGTTTCTCGCTCCTTGCCTCCTCTACCTCTCTTAAGATACAAATCCTAACTTACAAATAGTATTATGTTGTTTTCTGAAAGAGCAATTGATTTGACTCTTATGTATGGTTTGATGATTTGTAGGTTCCACACGAAGGACCAATGTGTGATTTACTATGGTCTGATCCTGATGATCGATGTGGGTGGGGAATATCTCCACGAGGTGCTGGTTATACATTTGGACAAGACATCGCAACTCAATTCAATCACAACAATGGTCTCAGTCTCATATCAAGAGCGCATCAGCTTGTCATGGAAGGTTTCAACTGGTGTCAGGTATTTATCTCAATTGCTTAAGGCTCTAACCAAGACATGATTGGTCCGTCTCTCCTTTCATAATTGTGGATTGAATCATTGATCTCTCTTCTGTAACAGGACAAGAATGTAGTGACGGTGTTTAGTGCACCAAACTATTGTTACCGGTGTGGAAACATGGCAGCTATTCTAGAGATAGGAGAGAACATGGACCAGAACTTCCTCCAGTTTGATCCAGCACCTCGTCAAGTCGAACCAGATACTACCCGTAAGACCCCTGATTATTTTTTGTGATTTATTTGTATTCTTTTGGTTCTGACCATAATACAACTTTTAAAATTCCGGTTAATGTATCCATCGTAGTGTCTTTTCAAATGAGGTCGCTACTTTCATTTCAGATTCGTTTATAAATATTTGCTTTGCTATTTAACCAAATAAAATTGTTGTGTGCATAATTGGCTCCTAATGTTTGAAACTAAAAGCATTACAAACAAAAACGCCTAAGCGAAGGTTTCTTCTATTTATATTCCAATACCATCTAAAAGCCTAACAAAACTTCCAATACCGTGCAGACTGTATAAAGTGTCAGCCTAAATATACAACCATAACTCCTATATCCATTTATGTTTTCCTCCTTTTCATTTCTTCTTTGGTGCTTTGGGTGCTCTGGGTCGTGACCTCATGCTAGCTCTCCTAGCCACGTCCCAAGCCTTCTGTGGTGCGTAGATACCCAGCTGTGACGCAAAGAACGACTCATAACCAGGTGAATCAAAGGCAAAACCAGTGTGCTTTGAGAGTTCCCTAGGTAGTTGGGATATCGCATAGCTTCTCGCCTCCTCTGGTGAGAGCTCGTTGGCTATCTCCAGTTGATCTGTATGCCTGCTATCAGGCTCGTGCCTGTGGATCTCCTGAACTATCTGATAATCATACGTGAAGAACCACCTCTCCACCCTGCATATTCCCAAATTCTCAAATCAGTCTCTTTGAGATATAATAAGCATATTTGCTGTAGTGTTGGATCCAAGTTTTACTTACCCTTGGTAGATGAAGTCTGCCAGAAGAGCAACAACCGGAACAAGCAACAATGTGAAGTAGAAGTAAAATGTACTCATAAGAACATATATGACAAAGTAGACATTCTCCTGCATACACAACAGTACAAAATGAGATACCAAAAGATTATAATACAAGGGAAAGACTGTGTGACGACCCAGTGGAGGAAGTGAAGCCTTACATTTCTAGTACGTGGCGTCATGATCCCGCAGTACGCAAAAGCAAAAACGAGCCAAGCTAAAATGCTTCCTACAACTGTGATATGATGCCATCTGGTAATCGAGTTGCTCATCAAAAGAATCCGCAGGTTCACGGCTATGACTAGACAGGTGAAGACCATTGTGCTCACGTCCCAGAGACCGAATATTTTGCCTGATGAGTTTTTGCCGTCAAAAGCTGAGGCAGTTACGAAGAGATAGCATACCAAAGATTGATACACAGCAGAAGAAGCCCAAACTGCCACAACTCTCCACTTGAAAAACGAATTACGTATGCCCTCTCTGTATAGTTCAGGGTATCTCTTTGAAAGGGATGCACTCACATCCTAACAAATGCACAAGTCAGTTACGGTACTTATTATTATCATTTTAGAATACTTTAAAGATAAGGATTGGAAAACGCAGTACCTTCTCAAACAGCCCAAGGACAATCACAGGAAGAGCTGTAAAGAAAACATTGTATAATGACTGGAACCAATCATCATAAAACCTTTGACCCGAAAATCCAGTTCTGAATGTGAACCAAAACTGAGTCAAAGTGAAGGTAAGATTTTTGTAAAAGAAATACATGACCACCTGCCGATAACAAAAACACCATTAGTAACATCAAATATTGTAGAAAAATAAGTTTGGGGTGAGGGAAAAAATCAACCTTGCATATTCTAAGATATGACCACCGTCCATGGACAAGAAGCAAATCCGTAAGAAATCTAAACTGAGCGATGGCAAAATCACTAGCCATCACAGCTTGCATTCCTTCCATCCCACTTATTCCTACACCAACATGAGCTGCTTGAATCATGCTAACATCGTTAGCACCATCACCAATGCTAAGTGTTATCTTTTTGGCTCCTTTTCTCACCAAGCGTGTAACCTGAAATTCGCATTAGTGTGTCAGTGAAAAAAAAACCAAGACGTAAAAACTATGTTCCCAGCAAAGTCAAGATTAATCAAAAACAGTCATTTGAAATTACCTGCGCTTTCTGTAAAGGAGAAACACGACAGCACACGACTGAAGTACAGTTCAAGCTCAAGCTGAGTAGAGTAACACGTAAAGTCGGGTCTAATGCATACATCAAACACTTCCCATCGATAACGAGAGCCAATTTTGGTCCAGCTACAGTATGCAGATACTGTTGAGCTTCTTCAAGGCTCTTCTTCAGCTCCTTATTTACTTCTTCCTTAATAACACGCGCAATTTCAACTTGGTCTCCCTAGTTTTGGATATATTTCAACAATTAGGATTGTAGTGAATGATTATCATCATACACACAAGTATAAAAGGCATCTGTATGAGTTACTCTTTCTTCAGCTTCCCTAATTGCATCAGTTTCAGAACTGATAATGAACTGTTTCATCTCATTGTTGATCAAGTTGCAAGCTGAAACATTCGAAGAATCAAGGAGCACAAAGGTTAACAACACGGGGGAACGAAAAAGAAGAGGCAATAGAAAAAGTTTACAACATTTACCATATGCGATATTAATTGCAGTTTCCATCTTGTCCCCTGTTAGCACCCAAATCTTAATCCCAGCTCTTGATAAGGTCTCTATGCAGGTAGGAACCCCTTCCTGAAGCTTGTCTTCTATTGCAGTTGATCCAATCAGGATAAGATCCTTCTCAATGAGTTCTGCAACCTGCATGGACCAAGATTATAACATTTTTCTTGCTATAAGTTCAAAGAGGATATTTCCTGATTAATACCCAGTTTAACGAAATAGCATAGTCTACCTCATCTAATTTCTTCTCACGATCTCGTAAAGCAGACTTGGCCTGAACGAATTTTTCATTCCAACTATCATAGGCTTCAGGATTTAAATCTTTATACGCCAGGCAAAGTGTACGCAACCCAGACGATCCAAAGTGTTCCAAGTGCTCCCTTGTTACTTTTCTAACATCATCCATCCCGTCAGCCAATCTCTCGAAAATTACAGTATCTGCTCCCTGTGAGCATTATTCCAAAAGCGATGGTCAAATTTGATATCCAAGAACACAGAGTCATACAACTACCTAGAAATCCGTTTACCTTACAGTAGAGTACGAGTCTCCCATCTGGAAAACGACACACAACAGACTGGCGCTTCCTTGTACTGTTAATACATGGTGTAATATTTCATTAGTATGCTTAACCATTGCAAAGAGATCACAAGCTAACATTCTGAAGCCTTACACACCTGTTGAACTCGAGAACATTAAGAATCTCATAAGACACATCTTGGATCTTTCCCATCTGCTCCGTGTGAGACTCACGAACATACACCATAGTTGGAGTACGCCTGAAAATAGATGAAAGTTGTTTCAAAGAAACTCACACAGAATTAAGAAACAAAAGCGTCTAGCTAACTAATTGAAAGATTGTTCTTGTCAGACTGCTTGCATTTTCAACTTGTCTATTCGAAAATGAAATGTAAATGAGAATAACCTGTAAAAGAAGAATCCAAAATTCTTGGCGGCTGTAACTAGAGCAGCTTCATCTGGAGAGGCAGCTTGATATAAGATTTTCTCTGGGGACTCATCACCTTCAGGAAGGACTGTGTGGCATATGGCTAGGCATCTAAAAAATTCCTACAGAGATAATAATACAAAACATTTAAGTTAAGAGTCATGCGCATCACCTAGCTATTACAATTCTTGAACAGATAGTGAGTTAAATCTATAGTTGATATGGAAGACGGAAGACACCTTGCAAAGGTCGGGATTGGGTTCGTTTCTCCAACCTCCACGCATAAGCCTTGGATCATCGAAGTTAAATCCCTTTTCTCTTATAGCACCAGCCGACCTTTGTTCCTGAGAAAATCATGACGTAAGACAATAGAATCAAATGTTCCACAATGCGTGACACAACATCCTCACATGAGGAGAAACTATACCTCTTGAATTTTTAAGCCATCACGCTGAGCAATTCCTCTTTCTATCTCAGTAATACCACATCCATAACTTATTCCTCCAATTGAACATTTAAAAAACTCCATCAAGTTTCTTGTCAGAGTTCCAGTTTTATCAGAAAAGATGTACTCCACCTGAAAGATGCCAATCATAGCGGATTAGCAGCTTCCAAGTTTATATCAAACATATGGCACTTGGTGGTGGATTAAGTAGCTTACCTGTCCAAGCTCCTCATTTAAATTCGAAGTCCTGGCGGAGGCAGGAGTATCTGTCTCAGAATGATACATGTGAAGATCTCGGTTGATAAACTGAGTTGACTGAATAAACTTGATCATCTATGTTCCATTTGCAGAGAAAAAAAACGGAAGCATTCAAAATGTTTGTAGCACAAACAATCGAAATTAAAACAAAAAATTTGGAAAGACCTACCTCGATAGAAACATATAAGGAGATCGGTATAATTGTAGAGAAAAGAGTGATCAAAGTGAAGAAGGTGAAAAATGCTATCTGTGGCACCAAAAGTTACTATAAGCTTCAGCGATCTATATATACAGGAATCAATTCAGTTATGCAAGGTTGTTACCGTCATTCGGTTACGGTATTCCCAATCTAGTTTATGCAGACCCAAATATTCATGGTCACGATCCGTCACAATTGCACTGCAAAATTTAACAGATTATTATATAATCAACGTGGGGTTTAAAAATACGGAGAAATCTAACATAGTTTTGGATTAAACCACAAGATTGACTAGAAGCTATACCAGCCAGTAGCTCCAATCAGGCACATTGTGAAAAGGACACAGAAGATGGTAATAATGAGTTTATCGAGTTTCTTTTCCAGCGTACTTCTTTTGGAGGGAATATTCATGGCATTCATCATCACCTGCATGCATTGCATTCACCACCATGTAGATCAGATAATATACATAGAAACTATACATGGATGGAGAAACATGAGACACTAAAAAGACATAATCATGAATGCTTGCTTCAGGGAAGCTTACCTTAGTCTCATGACCAGTAAAAATCACAGCCCCAACAATGTATTCTGTGTTCCTAAGACTGCATCCCTGAGAATTGGAATGCAGAAGATTTACAAAAAGCCAAAAAATATAAAGTCTCGCAAAATGAAATCCTGTATACATAAGGCAGACAAGGAACACACAGCTAAAAGTAGAAACAGTCGATCATACACGCAATAAAAGCTGGTCCGGAGAGAGAGGTAAAGTCTGGTTTTCTACTATAAGATTCCCAGTGAAAGTGTACAGAGAGTTATTAGGCTGCTCGCACTGAATCTCACCTGCATGGTAAAAGAGAGAAACAATGAATAAAGTTGATGAATACTGCGAAACAGTTAATAACGCTATTACGCTAACAAACAATAGCCTTAGATAAAATGGACCTGTCAGGTCAAAGATATATTTCCAGAAGAAAATGTATGAGAGACTAAAGCACAGATTCAGCTAAGGAAATATCCGCAAGATAATAATCAACTCCAAAGGCTAACCTTTAAATTCAGAAGCTTTCTCAGGTAACAAGTAATCCCATGTCCTTTCAAGGGCCTTTCTAATTTTTAAATTTGTTTCCCCATCTAAGTTTGCAGTCTGCACTCAAAAAGGGTGCGCACAACAAGACTAGAGTTAAAAAAAGTACATTCACAAATAAAAAATCAATGTAAATAGCCCAAGTAGCCAAGTACCTCTACATAGCAGATACCGTCTGGATTTGTGCTGGACAGGAAAAGAATATCAGCTGGAAAAAATCCATCTTTATTTATCTGCAAATATCAACAAGGAATATTTACCAAGACTATAGATTTGAAGTTAAAAGATAGTTACAAGTTCTGGATCCCTCCACAAACGCCACCGAGTTAACTAGATCTACTGTGATAACTATAGGTCGGGTAAAGTAACCAAATAATAAGTGTATTAATAATTTCTTGAGAACCTTGTTCAATGACATAGTAATTCATGACCTCTGTTAGAAAATATACCTTGATAATATCTCCGACCTGCACCTTCCGCCAGGGAATAGGTACCCATAGTTGATCTTGCAGGATCTCCACTGTACTATTATTTATGGACATATCATTTTGAAAGCGTTTCTGCAACAGATTATTTGCAGAGGGATTTAAAAGTTTGAAAAGTATATGGGTCCTGAAACTCTTAAGCACGGACTAACTAAAACCTAATACGGCTCTATTTCTATAATGTCAAAACAAGAAGAACCAGAAGTCAGGGCCTCACCCAGTCTTCAAAAGCCTCTTTAATGAGAGAGACGAGAAGCACCATCGACAGAGGAGCCACGTTTGTTATTGGATTTACAGGGCTGCAGGAATAAAAACAATTTATCTAGTTACATTGTACTTTACTGATAGCAGAAAATAAAGACAATGATGATTTCCTAGTACAGAAAATGATAGTAAACTTGTCAATGCATGCCAAATGATCAGTTAAAATACAAAAAAGCGGCACTGTAACAAAATCATAAAACCGGGAAAGAGTGACTTTATTCACATAAACCTCATGAGAAGTCGTCCCATGGGAAAACAAACACACGTTTTGGTTGCTTTATGGACAAGTGTTACCAGATTACAAAACAATCACGAGTCAGCAATAAAAATAAGTCAACTGCGATGGAGTTTAGCATACCTTATTGGTGTCATTGACAGACATGAAATCCCAAGAAAGTAGATGTTTGCTATGCGCCTAAACTGTCAGAAAGCACGTTACTTCTCACATCAGGCAAAAAAACGTCAAAGATGAGAAAGAAATGCAACTTAATGATCCAACACACTAATGCTATCATTTTTTTTTTTAATTAAAAAGTCAATGGCGCATAAAAATATATCACAGGCCAAGTGAAAGTCAACAGGCACCTTTACAAGGATTCTGTAGTTGAAAGCCAGAACACTAATTCTACCATTTTTTTAATTAATCAGTAATGTAATAATGATAGATGCAAATGCACAATCTTAAGTCATTTAACAAAACAAAGTATAATATTTCTAAATCATTTAAAAGCTATAACCTGCATTACTAGCGAAAGTAATTAACCAAAAAAAAACTTACTTGTTCAAAGAGACCTTTGGGGAGAAAGGTGAAAACATTATACTTTGTTGTCGAAATTGAATTACCCTGCCACATCATTCGTTAGGACAAAAACTCACAAACAACAATTTCATTTAACACATTATCCCAAAACGGCGTCGTACCTTAAAACGGACAGGGAGATTAGAATCACGATCATTGCAGAAAACGGTACGGTAAGTGGGAGCCTGAGGCTGAATACGTCCAAGCGTGACGGTCCTAGAGGGTGCACGAAGGAGAGACGGTGACGATGACGACGATGACTCAACGCTTAATCCACCTCCCGAGCTAGCCATCCCGATTCAACGCTTCCACTAATTTCCCTCCAATTTTTTTATTTTTTACCCTCACAGTTTGAGATCCGGTAGAAAACTCAGAGGACCATCTCCTTTTTCCTTTTCTTTTATTATTCTTCTTTTTTTGTGGTTATTATTCTCTCATCTTTCATTTATTTCCTTATCGACCAATAACATTTCGAGTCCGTTTTTTTAATAAAAATAAATAGAGCATTATTTCATTAATGTCTTCAAAAATCGTATGGACCTGTGGAATCGTATAAGAGATTTTTATTTTTGGTAAACATGTTAAGAATCGTATAACCAAACTTTATTTCACAAGACCTAATAGCAACATAACATAGAACGCACGTGAAAGCTAAACATATTGTTAACATATTCTGAGAGACAAGCATCGAATGAAATTATATCCTCACGGTCCAGTCGAACTCCCTTTTACGTCATGTCTAAACATAAATGGTTAGAAACTTTGAAGGATGGGTAATCTAAACAGATTTATCATTAGAAAAGAAAGATAATTTTTTCGACCGTACTCACGAATAACAAACATGGAGTAACATAGTTGTTAAAAAAAAAAACAAACATGGAGTAACATCAATATTATAGTCTTAAAGCCCATTTCTGATTAGGCCCATATCTAACAAAGCGTACAATGTTATATATTTCTCTAACACATTTTCTCCAGAATATATTGGTCAAAATGTGAGTTGCTTCAGTCAATGATCTGAGAAGTGCGATATTTGTGTGTTAAAAGAAAGATGTTCATATTAATCGATGCATTCTTTGTTCTACTGTAATTATATATAGTCTTATGTCGTTCTTTTAACCTCATCAGATGCTTTTAATTGTTTTTGTTTATAATCGTGTGTTGTCTCAAGTGGTAGTGTTATGAAAACCCCAATAAAATACTTGGAGACTGAGCTCTGAAACGACTACTTCTAACTCTTTTTCCATCAAAATAAAAAAAACACATATCATTTCTTGCATTTTAACTAGTTACAAGGATCTGTATATGTTTATGAGTCGTCAACATTTGTCCAAGGTATTTATAAGAGATTGACTCAGTTGAATTATTTACCACTTATGTAAATATATATCAATCAGTAAGCTTGAAGAAATTTAGATTGAAATATTACATCACTAGGTATTTATTGTGATTAACATAATTTTAAAAAGTCTTGCTATTTAAATTATACTAATTCTCAAAACGTAATTCTCAAAACGAAACAAATGAAATTAATAAAAATGTCATTTTCAGATCCACTAGAAAGGCAAGACGAAGACAATATTGTCTTGCAAATACGAATCCATTTGTTTTAAAAAGCTAATAATAAATTAGCCCAAACATATCACCAAAAACTCTCAAAAATCATACAAAAGCGTTGAGAGAAATTATCAACCCTCAAAAATAGCAGCTTCCATCATAGCTCCTTCAGTGGTTCACATCGTTTTGGGTGATGGTTCGAGTGGCTCAAGAATCATTACAAACAATTGTGGCACAATAATAACATGCTCTCATATTGTTATTGATGCAAAGCAAATTCAATAGAAAGCATATTCCCAATCGGTAAAAAAATATACTACATTTTATCTAATTTTTAGTTTTAAAATATTGTATTTAACTTTCTAAATTGGCAGTTTTTAGTATTTCAAGTGACGGAGGTTCATACAAATGAGTAGATTTGAATTACAAGATTGATAAGGATTTAGCCTTGGTCAATTTAAAGATTCCGAGTTTAGTTTACTTCAAGCTGCCAACTGGAGAGTTGCAAAGGAAGTTTGTCTTGGAGATATGGTTTTGTCTGTTGGTTCAACCCTAGACTGAGCTCACAGCTTCTCAAAATGCATCGTAAGGTATTGTTTATCCTTTATTTTTTCTATTTTTAAATTGCATGTATATTTCTAATGTTCTGTTTTTTATTGTGTCTATAAGCTGTCTAACAACCTATATATTCAAACGGATTGTGCTTCTTTTTTTGTAAGATTCACATATCATGATGTCAGCTCAATGAAAAGAAAAAACTGCACTAGAAAAACACATACTGGGAGGATGATTTCACGTTCTCAAAATTTTACTCTTTTTATTTATATCTATTTTCTTCTGGTAAACAAAAATTTCACACTACATATGAAAAATGAATATGCATAATTTGATAAGTTTAAAATTGTCGCATCAATATATAACTTATGTGCCATTTTTCTTGAGAAAAGAAACCTAAAAAGTAGTTGGTATGATTTCAGTACATGAATGATTTTCTTTTGTCTATTTTAATTGGTGAGATAAATTTTCTCTAGAAATAATTTTTTGATTGTATACATGTATATGCGATTTGCCATAGGTACAACCCACAATCCATGGAACTAGTGTGATTATTCAGTGAAAAATGAATTGAACTATAATGAATATAAATGTATATAAATTCTGGTGTTATTAATGAAACACGAATTTAATTGGTTTATGATGAATATAAGTTCAAATATAATTATAGTCTTGTTAAAAGTTGTTTTTTTACTTTGTTTAACATTACTCAGTTTATTAAGTACTAAATTATATTATTTGTTAGTGTGATTAAATGCCATTACCTTCTTTTCATTTTATTTGTTTTAATTTTTTTAATTACATATTAAAAACAATAAATTGTTCTATTTTATTCTTAATTAAAGTATTATTTTGTTTGTAGCTGATAATTATTGAAGTAAGAGACTAAGGATAGAATTATAAAATTTGACAAATATATGCACTGGAAATATAAAATACCACTCAAAAACAAAACAACATTTAAAGTTTGAAATGACAATTAATTTGAAATGGAACATGTATGTGATACTTATTGATATTATTTCAAGAGAATTTAGAATGTTCAAATAAATAGTGTGAATCAACTCATTTGTAGCTTTAACATGACACATTTTACAATTTTCTTCAAAGTTTCACTATATTTATCAATTCCATTTACCAAAATAAAAAAATCAGACCGAATTGGAGTGACACCATTCATAAGTCATTTCAGTTAGTAATAACAAACCAATAGATTGTGGTTTGACCAAAGCTGTGTTTAGTACCGATTAAATAAAATCCGGTATAAGAAGCCGGTTTACTTCAATGGTTGACAAGTAAAGAGAAAACAAAATAGACAAATTACAAAAAGACATTAAACTCTACTTGCCACGTTTATTGACTTTCCAAAACCCAACAAAGACTTCTGATTTGTTTGTTCTTTCGTAACAAAAATAAATAAAGACAGAACCTTTTATTCACAAAGTAATTTGTCTCTTTCTCAAAATCTATCTCAAAGCAAGTGCCTTCTCTTCATTTATAGTGGGATTCGATTACAGAAGACAGAGACAGAAACGTCTATGGAAGATTGTTAGCTAATTGTAATCTAAAGAGAGAGAGATAGAGATGGGAGGTTGCGTGTCGACACCAAAGAGCTGTGTGGGATCAAAGCTGAGGAGGTCAAGTAAGCGAAGGAAGAGTCGTAAAAGACGAAAGCTTCAAAGGAAGAGAGCTGCCGCAGCCTCTTCTCGTCTCTCTGACAACAATCTCGATCATCCTCGCAGCAGCAACCTCCCAACTCCCAGTTTCAGAGGTCTCAATTCTTAATCCTGATTTGTTGCCTTTGTTTGGTGGATTCATCTTTATCTTGAGATGCTTCATTGATTGTAGAATCTTTTGGATTAGATTCTGTTTATAGTTTTCTTAAAAAGCTATTAATAGTTTATTTTTTTAATGAAGTTAAAAAAAAATCTTTGTTTATTGATGATCAGTGTGAAGCTTGTCTCTTATCTCTTAATGACCTTTAAATTTTTATCTTTGGTAGCTAATCAAACTCTCTATGAAGTTAGTTTGCCCTGTGATCTTATAATATAATTGATGATGATCCTATGTTTTTTGGTCAACAGCAAGTGGAGAAGAAGCATGGTTTGAATCCAATGTAGCCTTTGAAACAGATTGTGATGATGATTTCCACAGCGTCAATGAAGGTATATATTAGTCTTTCATTTTCTATGCATCTCCTTTTATCAATCTTCATTTTTCGGTTTCATTTTTAGATAACTTGTCTGGAGGTGAGCTTTCATCAGTTTCTAGTACTACGACTACCACATCATCAACAGGAGAATCTGACTCAAACTCAAACGAATCCATGTCACCGTCGAAATTAGACGACACAAACCAGCCTGATTCCATAGACTCATCATCTGAAGATGAAGGAGGACACTTGCCGAGTAACTGTTTGCCTTGTCTGAATCCTATAAGTGTTGTTCCTTGTGTTGAAAAAGGAAGGTCTCTTAGCGCTAGTCCTCCAAGTTCCAGGAAAAAAACGTCTCTTAGACTTTCTTATAAATGGAGAGAAGGTCATGCTTCAGGGGCCTTGTGTAAGTATCTTGATTCTTTGGATTAACATCATCTTGATCACATATGATGAACTTACTTGTTGCTCGAAACTTGTGTCAGTTCTTTCTAAACTACAGTTGAAGAGACCAGTAGCAGGTTCTCAGGTTCCTTTCTGTCCAATCGACAAGAAAATTCTAGATTCTTGGACGACAATCGAGCCAAATAGCTTCCGTGTTCGTGGCAAAACTTATCTAAGGTGAACCAATGAGAGACCATACTGTTCTCTTACTTATGAATCATAAACAAGAGGCTAAACCGTTGACTTTTTTTGGTTTAAGGGATAAGAAGAAAGAGTTTGCAGCTAGCCATGCTGCGTATAATCCTTTTGGTGTCGATGTTTTCTTATCAGAACATAAAATAAACCATATTGCACAATATGTCAAGCTTCCTGTTACTACCACATCCACAAAACTCCCATCTCTACTTGTTGTTAATGTTCAGGTTCGATCGAGTTCTGCTGATTACTCTGTTTACTGTTATGTTTCTGGAGCTTCTAGTGATTGTTTCTCTCTTGGTGTAAGCAGATTCCATTGTATCCAACTACAATCTTTCAAGGTGAAACTAATGGAGAAGGAATGAATATTGTTTTATACTTCAAACTTTCGGATAATTATTCAAAGGAACTTCCTCTTCACTTTCAAGAAAGTATTCAGGTAAGTTTAGCTTTGACTCGGTTAGTTTCATCTTTATGGCCTTGTTTAATATTCTTTGTATGTCGCAGAGATTAATAGATGACGAGGTTGAGAAAGTTAAAAGCTTCCCTATGGATGCAACAGCGCCTTTCAGAGATCGCCTTAAGATATTGGGACGTGTTGCCAATGTAGATGATCTGCATATGAGTGGTCCAGAGAAGAAGCTGATGCAGGCTTACAACGAGAAGCCTGTTCTTTCGCGTCCACAGCACGAGTTCTACTCGGTGAGACCAAACTCTTTGACTATTCTTCTTGATTAGGAATATGCTTTAGTAACTAATGGACTTTGAATTTTTTTTATTGACTCTTTGTAGGGTGAAAATTACTTTGAGATTGATATTGATATGCATAGATTCAGTTATATATCCCGGAAAGGGTTTGAAACATTCATCGACAGACTCAAGATCTGTGTTCTTGATGTTGGTCTCACAATTCAGGTATATTTTTGTTACAAAAAAAGTTGTTATGGATGTATAATATTGCTTATGTTGAGTATTTGTATGTATGAACAGGGGAACAAACCAGAGGAGCTACCAGAGCAGATTTTGTGTTGTGTCAAGCTAAATGGGATTGATTTCATGAACTATCATCAGTTAACTCAAGAACTCTTATAACACATATTTGTTTTTGTCCTCCTTTGTTTAAAAACCACATACAATTCTAAAAGCATCCCTTTAGAACTACCAAGAACACAAAAAGGGTGATGATTTTTAAGTGAATATTTCAAAATTTATGAGTCTACTGAGTAAATGTCATTAGTTTATGTTGTCACAAAAAGGGTGATGACACTTTATAAGAATTTTCCGTTGAAAGTCACTCCTCGAAAAAAAATATATCCTAGCTCCAGTAATTGACGTAGAATCATACTACGTTCTTTACTTAGCCATGCAAAAGTCTGTTGTCGCCACTTGAGTGAGTTACGTTAGGGTTATTCATTTACTTGAATCACACGAAACAGAGCTAGGGTTATGAAGTATCGACTTTTGGCTTTTGGCACTATTAAGAAAATTATAAGGAAACAACAAAAACTATAAGAAAGGTATAAGACACAACAACTGGAGTAGGGAGTACTATTTCTTATTGCGTATTCCAACATTCCCTACACAAGTAGAGCAAATCTAACGCTAAGATGAGACCCTAACATTCATCATCGTTTCATTGCAAAGCTTATAGAAACTAAAATAAACTTCCAAACGCCTATCAAAGGATCAAACGGCACAAACTCGGCTTCTTTTGCGTTCAGCTTTATGTATTAGAGGCGTTTCCAGCCTGGACGTTGGCGTAGCCGGTGGTAGTGGCAAAGGTACTTCCACTCCTTAAAACTCTCGATCTACAAGCAAAAGGATCATTTAACAAACCACAAACCAAAATCAACATAAGAGAGACAGAGAGTCAATGGGAAAATAACAAAGACAAACCTCTAGAGATTTTTGTAATTGCCCTTGCTTCTTGAGGAGTTTTATCCAGCGGTTTAGATCTGCTTTGGTGATGCAAAATCCTTGGTCCTCCATCTCTCTCAAAACGTTGTCACAGGTGCTCTCAGAGGATTTGAGCTTAGAAAAAAGATTTCTTTTTTGAGCAGGAGTAGTAGGAGTAGAATTCTTAGCCCATAGAGGATCATCAAGTTTAGGGAACTTAAGAACATGTGGTCTTGCCCCTGAAGTCGGTTTTCTAAAACGTAACCAATCCAAGACCTTCACGTAAGCAGGCCAGTTTTTGGCATCAACGTCCATCTCATCGAAATTTGGCTCTACTTTGTTGAAGTAGGCTGAAGCCGCTGCTGATCCTTTAACCTTGCCTAGAAGATCCACATAAAGCTCAAGTTGGGAGGGAGAAAATACCATCTTCTTTTTATCCATCCACCTAAAGATCTACACACAACAACAAGTATAAACATTTTCAAACAACTTAAAATACAAACAAGAAAATAAATAATAATAATTCAATGCTGCATCAGACATATATATATATATATATACCTCGAGGGAGTGATCAGGCTTTTTGTTCCTCTTATCAATACGTTTGGCCCACCTCACAAGATCCTCCTGATCCACAAAAACGCCTTTCTTCTCTTCCTCCCTTAAGATGAGATCTATTGTCTCAACCGTAAGTGACTTCAGCTTCTGAAATACCTTCCTCTTCCCTGCCTTGATCTGACCTGCAGAGTTCTCGACGGCAGATGAAAACGGCGCCGTTGTACAAGCCATCTTCCAGCTAGAAGATAGCGGAGTAGGACCTTCTTCCAGAGGTGAAGAGAAGCCATAGTGAAATGCGGCAGAAGTTCTCGTACCTAATTTCACTACCACTAATTCTTTTATACATCTTGAATGTGGCCCGGCCCGCCCCGCCAGTCTAATATATTTTTAAGACATAAATAAATAAATTATGTGAAACGGTTTAGTTAACTAAACCGATGGAACATAATTAACATAAACCATGCATTTACGATTGTTACAAACAAACTTGTTATCAAACAAGACGACTATCACGTTTAAATTCTGATTATGATTGGTTCACGTACCTTTTAGTACAGTCTTATAGGGAACCTTACAGGTTAACTTAAATACAAGACCTGGTCCTTTTGCCTTCTTGTCCTTCGAAGTCTTTGACTTTTCTACTTCTTCCTCGGAAAGTTCTTCAATGTACATTCCTGAGAGACGATTAACATAGTTTATGAGGAAGTAATATTAGAATGTTATGATAAGACTCTAAGATGTAAAAGACTATCTTACTGCTTATCATACGAACCAACCGTAACAATACCAAGACGAGAAGGTTACGAACCCTAACCGCAAGGTCCTTCAAATCCAGAGAGAAACCTCTCTGAACTTTGTCTCAAATGCAGAGACACTCCTCTGATTTGCCTAAAAATCCCAATTACAAGATGATCTAACCATAAAGTAACAGCAAAACCTCTCTATGAATCAGCAACTTCACTTCCTTGCCAACAAAGCAGCCATCTGCCACGTCAGCCCTAGTAGTCTGGTATCTATCATGTTATTTATAGAGCATCCACATTTTCTCATCGATAATAACAGTGGTATAAATTTGAAGCATGAGATTCACAATACATAAGTAATTATCACTCTACATGGAAAGAAAAAATTAGGGTTTTTGTCACAGCAATGTTTCTCCGTCGCCTTTTGAAACCTTCTCAGATCTCCTCCTCTGTGGGGACGATCAGAACCATCTCTAGCTCCCGTCACCTTACTCCATCAGTTCCTTCGACTCCTGCTCTAAAAAGAAAACTTTTTGCCAATCTCAAATCATCCCAAATCCCATGTGACGACGTTCTGAGAGATATGGAAGAGCAAGGATTTCAGATGGCTATGGCCGATCTAACTCGCTGGGCAAATCTGATGAGCAAGCAAGGACTAGAAGAAAAATCTTCAGAGGTCTCAAATTTTTTTTTGTTTTGTTTACACAGTTCTTATAACCAAATGGTCCTTTTGTCTGTAGATCTTTTCCTTTGTGGAGTGCAAGTGTAGAATTTTGATGAATGAGTCAGTTCTCCATCCTGCTGGGAATGGTGCTTCTGAGTTTTTTGGAAGAAGTACTTTCAGAAAGATTGGTAAAAGGATCGCACCATCTGTGGTCAACGTCGATGGACCTAACGGTGTGTATTCTTATTATTTGATTTGATTGAGTTTAGTTTTTACATTAGATTAACTATTAATTTCTGAATCAATTTTTTTATTACATCAGAATGTTATGGCTCTGGGATTTTGTTTGGGAAAGAAGGCAAAATAATCACTTGCGCTCATATCGTCCTCAACCTCGACAAGTTTAGAAAGAGTCCGGTTTATCGTTCTAAGACCTTCGAGGTAACTTCTTCTTCTCAAAATAATATGTGTAATGTTTTTTTTTTTCTTTTGTGTTCTTTCTTTGTCTAATATATTAATCATTTTTGAACTAATGTTAGAACACATGTCTCTGTTTTGAACACATCTTAGATTAATCAGTTTTGAACACATGTATCTTCTCAGTATGACACGTTTTTCGAACATATCTTTAGATTAATCATTGACCGTAATTTTTCTCTCTCTGTTGTTTTGATCACAGATTAATAAATTCTTTAATTAAAAGATTCTTCATGTTACGTAACACATGTTTTTCCATATTGATTTTTGTTCTTCGTTTTGCATGTTTCATTTAGCTTAAGCCGAACACACAAACACTACCAAAATCTAGTTAGTCACGCTAACCACCACAACTAGGAGCAACTTTGGAACAATTTATGTATTCATATTTCTTAACTACTATTGTTTCTAACCGTTTTTTCTTCTAAATGATAGGTTATGATCACATTCAACTGTGGGCAAAAGTTTCGAGGAGTTGTTGCTGATTGTGATGCAGGCCATGATCTTGCACTAGTCAAGATTGAGGCACCAGCTAAATCTTCATTCTCTCCTGCAGTGTTTGGAGTCTCCAAGTATGTTTCTGTTGGGGATATGGTTCTGTCCATTGGCAATCCTCTTCAGTTTAAGGACAGTTTCTCATCAGGGATAATCAGGTACTTCTTTTCTTTTGTTTTTCATTATATTGGAAGCTCTTTTTTGGTCATGTCTTTTATATATGTTCCTTTTGTTTTTCCAAGTTGTGTTAAACGCACAAAAAAGGAAATTCACGCAACAGGCGATTGCCAATTCTATCTCCAAACTGATTGTGCTTTGAATGAGGTAATAATATATGGTTCTGAAATAAATTCTATGTTTGCTTTCCTATTTGCAATACTTTACTGATTTTTGTTGTTGTTATTTGTAGGGTAACTCTGGAGGTCCGGTTGTTAACCTCGACGGGGAGGTCATTGGTGTTAACTGCGCGTTTGGGGATGGAAATGTAGGTGTTGGGTTTGCAATGCCCATAGACACAGTGGTGAAGGTCATGAAGGAGAGGAACTGGTAGATTTTAGGATTTGAAACTCTATGGTTAAAATATTTTGTTATCTGGTACTTTGAAAAATACTCTTATGTTTTGTTTCCTTATCTGCCTCTACTTTGTTTGTGTCTGTCTGTTGTTATGTGCAAGTGCAACTAATATTGTGGAGACATCATCTTTATGCATGACTATAATATAAATTAAGTATGATTCTGCATCAATTAAATAGTCACGTCAAGAGTGATTTGTAACACAACATTTCAATGAAATGGGTTCTCAATATTTATTGGTTATAAGCATCACGAAAGTAACAAAGAATCACCATACTTGACTAGCTTCCTAAAGAAGAGAATAAGAACCAAAAAGATTCAAACAGACATCGACTCATGAAACACATGCGTGATATTATTATCTACAAGGAGACAAGACAAGTAGTCCCAGTAAAAGAATCTATCTCCGGTTCACTTTAGTCTTCCAGGCTTTAATATTTGTAAGATGAACCAGCCTGTGGTGGTGCCGGATCTTTAATTAACTCGAGAACAATCTTTATCAACGATCTCAACCCTTTCTCTGGCGATATAAGATAAGGTTGATAACCATCTGCCTCCAGAACAACCTGATAAATTTCAAAGATTTTTACCGTCAAGTTCAGTCTTAAAACTTGTCAACTAATAGGAAAGAAACAGTCACCCACCCGTTTAACATTGTTCAAGTCAAAATGTCTGTCCAATGGAAGTTGCTTGATTCGGTTGGGGAAATTTCCTTCAAAACTTGCAACAACGTTCCAACCACTTCCCTGGACGAAAGAGACTGTTAGAGAAAAACTTTCACCAAAGCTCCATATGGACCTCAGCATGAACTAAAGCTGACAACTACAAAAAATGTAATTCATCTCCTCATTGGGCTTATACACTACCCCTAAACCTCAATTATCAGATTCATGAGATTCTCCACAGTATAATGTGCCCTTACTAAACGTATGTATGCAAGATACTTTCCACTACACTAACATCAAATCTGAATTGGCTGATTGCAAATATTTAGGCAGTTCCTCTTTTTCAAAAACGAGACGGATTGTGTTTATAATGACGAACCAACTTCTTTAAGCTTCCTTTTTGCTCGGAAGTTTGCTCCTAGTTCATTAGCTCCTCTTATTAATTTGAGCTTTACAGTCATGAGGTTTTGACATAACAACTGATTAGATGAGATTCTTCTATGAATAGAACTTCTTTTTAGTAGCTTCTTTGTTTCTGATCTCTTCTTCATTCCGTTTTCTTGACAGGCCATTGCTCTCCATTTTCTGAGGATTGGATCAGGGACTTGAGCCTTTGAGATTGTTTTGTGAACAAAAGGAGAGAACGTCTACAAAAGCTGTCAAGTTCAAAGAAGGCTCTTTATCATATCACTAATTTAAAACTTTTGTGTTTGTCGTCAAAGAAGTATCGTTCATAGAGTAGCCAAAAGAGAAGTTCTTTCTCATATTTTTAAAGTTGTTACCACGTGACATGACAAGGACTTAACATTGAACATGAAAAGCAAAGACATGTCCATACACGCTTGATGCAGAGCTAGCTAATCTAGTTATATAGATTTTACAAACATCTATTTTTCATCAATTTTTTTTTTGGAAAAATGAAATTGTATAGTTTGATCAAGGTTAAGGATCAGAAGAACGTATTAGATTGTGATGTTGATCTTTAATAAACAAATACCCGAGTTTGCAAAAACTGCGGCCCACAAAGCTAAAGGCAAATTACTATAACTAGCAAGTAACAAAGAAGATGGGTAGGAAAGGAATATAGCCAAGTTGTGCAACTAGTTGCTCGATTCAACTACCTATTTTTTTCTTCTCCATCTTGCCACCTGTGTGAGGACACTGTCTCCTGTTGTGGAGGAAGATGACTATTCTCAGAGTTTGACCATGGTGCTTGATTAGCCACCTGTCCTGACGAGGGATTTGACCACTGGGACTGCTGAGGGGTAGCTGTCTGATTAGTCCACTGTTGATGCTGGCCAGGTGTCTGATTAGTCCACTGTTGATGCTGGCCAGGTGTCTGATTAGTCCACTGTTGATGCTGGCCAGGTGTCTGATTAGTCCACTGTTGCTGCTGGCCAGGTGTCTGATTAGCCCACGGTTGTTGTTGATGATGGCCCGTGTTCTGATATTGCTGATGACCAGTGTTCTGATTAGACCACGGTTTCTGCTGGTCAGTTGTCTGGTTTTTCTGATGACCAGTGTTCTGATTAGACCACTGTTGCTGCTGGCTAGGCGTCTGGTTATTCCATGAGTGCTGCTGGCCAGTTGTCTGATTATCCCATGATTGCTGCTGGCTTGAAGGACTTGACCACCCCGGTTGCTGAGACCAAGATTGCTGCTGTTGATATCCTGGTGTCTGACTCGACCAAGATGGTGGCTGCTGCACGAGTGTCTGATTAGACCATGGTTGCTGCTGCTGCTGGTTGACAGAAGTGTTGGACGAAGAAGGATTCTGGCCATTATTAGCCTTGTAGGTTCCTCCTGCAGTTCCATTGGCCCCACCTGACTTTGGAAACCCTGTCCCATGGCTCGTCCATGGGGCTCTGTCTCTAGGTTGCTGAAGAGCTGCAGATGTAGCTCCTCCTAACACTGAGGGTACCCTCGGTGCAGTGTAACCAGAGTTTCTACCAGGACGGTGAACCGTGTTCAAGGTTTTCTCAATCTCCTCACGACGTCCTGCTTTCTCAAAAGTCTCTATTACAAACTCCCGCAGCACAGGAGTAACCCCAACACCATATCCAACCATCTGACCAATTACATCCTTGGCTACCTCAAGTGCACCACCATCACAAAGACCTCTAACAACCACATCGTAAACCAAAGGATCCGGTTTAGGCTCCCTCTCTCCCATCTTCCTCAAAACCTCAGCACACTCTGTAACCTTACCATTCCTAATCAGCTCACCAAACACCCTCGTACCAAACTCAGCAACCACCCTAAGATTCACATCAACCATCCTATTCAACATCTTGAGAGCATCATCAACTCTCTCCGCCTTAAGATAAGCATCAATCATCGCTCTATGACTTGGAGCATCAGGAGGCAAGGACTTACTTATACTCTCCGCAAAGAAACTTTCAGCCTCCGGCAACATCCCATGTTCACAGAACTTTGTCACTATGTTACTGTAACCTGCATAATCCATCACCAACGGCCTAGAAGTTGGATTCCTCCCAACTTTCTTAAACGTCTCAATCGCTTCATTAAACTCCCCCATCTTGAAACACTCATTAACCATCATACTAATCGTCTCCGAGTTCACAGACAGAATATTAGGAGGAGTATGATTATCCAACATCTCATTAAACAAACCCCAAGCCTCACTCTTTTTACCATACTTTAAAAAAACTCCTAACAGCACATTCCCAGTATGTGGATGCATCCTAAACTTCTTACCCAACAAATCCCTATAACACTCCATAGCTTCCTTATCCTCCCCTTTCTCAAACCAATACTCCATAAAAGTCCCATTAACAATCCCATCGTAAACACTACACTTACTCTTCAACTCATCAAAAAACTCATTAGCCTTATCTAACTCCCCCAATTCCAAGTAACCTCTTATCACATTACTATACACAACGGAATCAGCAGCTTGGCCTTTGCTCAACATCTCCCTAACCAAACTAACAGCTTCACCAACCCTCCCAGCTTGAACCAAACCTCTACTCAAATGCCTATAGGTAACACACGAAGGAGCGAAAGGAGCGTTAGCGATTATGTAACGGTACACTTCAAGAGCCTCCTCCACGTGTCCTTCGTCGCAATGAGCGTTGATGATCTGATTGTAACTGACTACGTTGGGGACGATGTTGGACTGTTTGAAGAAATACTCGAACAGAGAGATGGATTCCTCGTAACGCTTGGAGCGGTACATGGCGGCGACGAGGGCGTTGCAGGTGAAGACGGTGGGGCGAGTGGTGGAGGAGACGGAGTGGCGAGCGAGGTGTGACGCGGCGTCGAGGTCGGAGGCTCGGATTAGGGATTGGACTCTGTTGTGAAGGTTGAGACGCGCGCCGACTAGGGAGGAGGTTGAGTCAGGGAGGCGTGGAGCGTTGGGGTCGCGTTTTGGAAGGTCACAGTGGAGGGAGTTGAGAGGTGGTTGGATGCGGAGTTGGCGTTTACGGTGGCGGCGTGCGGCGGCGGCTTCTTCGGCTGATGAGTAGGATGTGGTTCGGAGAGGGAAGTGTGGAGGAGATTGATTGGTTTGTGGAGAAAGTGAGATGGTGGAGAGGCGTTGATGGAGGTGTGTGACTGGGGGAGGGGATCGGATTGTTGTGGTGGTGGTGGATGGAGAGAGACGGTGTGGAAGGGAGGAACGGCGACGGAGGATGTGGCGGAGAAACATGGCTGAGGGAAATGGGTTAAGGCAAGGAGACGGAACCGAAACAACAAGGTTGTCGTGTGTTTTAAACCCTTAAACTTTGAAATGGGATACTTAAAATAAAAAGGAATAATAATTCAATTTCATTAAGTGGGGAATTGGTATGTTCTAGTGTCCGGTTCAACATAAATCTTGCTGAATTAACCGAACTAAATTTCGGTTTGGTTGGTTTGGTTTGGTATTTGTTCCTTATCTGACGAAGTGGGTGTCATCGGTGTGTTTTGACTTTGAGTTTGCTATTTGAGTTAGTCACGTGAGTCTCCCATAGTGACGTGATTAACTAACTACAACTGGTCAAGTATTATACCAATTGGCTTCGGTGGAGACAGACGCTTACCTGATGTTATGATCAAATTATGTTGATGTTATCATAATCATCTTGATCGTCTCTTTGGTTAACCTAAACTGAACATCGAAGATAACTCTGTCTTGCATAATACCACAAGAACCAAAGTGTGTGTACAGTGATTTCAAGTTTGGAGTTTGAATTCATTATATGCTAGTAACAACAAAATAAAATAAAAAACTCAACTATTGCAGTGTAGAAAATACTTAAAATGGTCTTTGGAGGTTTGAAATGAAATACTGTAAATACCATAAACTTAACGGGAAAAAAAAACACAACTATTGTGGAAATCATGTGAATTGCTAAAAGATGAAGACACCAGGTAAGAAGACTTTGCGGGCATTGGCAATAATTGATTCTCCATGTGTTTCATGTAAGAGCTGATGAATTCTTAAGTAGCTACATTTGTCAAATCTTTCACTGGCACAATTTCATGAGGCTGTACACATAGAACATTTACCACAAGTTAGAATATAACCCACAATTTAAAAGTGAGGCAACACAACTGCAAATATTAAAGAGATTATTAAAATAGACACCGGCTCTCACGTGCAAGCTTAATCATTCCAAAACATTCAAGTTAACAACATGATTTGAAGATTTTTACGTAAAGCTTAAGCATTTGGAAACGCACCAGATGAAAACAATAAGACAGAGACAGAGAGACAAAGGATGTTTTGACGAGTAAATGGTCTAGATTTTGTCCAGAATCAAAGAAATTGACATTGAATGTACCTCTGCTAATTCCTCTTCATGCTTGGGGATGAAAGCTGTATCAACTTTTCCGTTTTTGAAATCCTGTTACAAGTATGTAAATTACATAAAACCCAATGCTTTCATGATTAAATAAGCTTCCCAAGAGTACAACTAACTAGTTCTTTTACACACCTCAACTTCAAGGATAAGCTTGTGGTACTCAATGGTGGTGGGAACCCCTGATGAAAGAACAAAAAATTGAACACATTTCATCACAATGCAACAAAAGAAAAAGTCGCATTTCATGGGTACCAGAATCAGCAATCCACGGAATACCTGTAATAATAGTGTCATTAAGTGCACGTTTCATCCGCTCAATTGCCCTTTCCCTCGTTGGAGCCCATACAATAAGCTAAAACAAATATAAAGATACACCATAAACGTCAAAAGTAAAAAAATGGAAAGGCCCTACCTAATAGCTGCACGTATGAACATCAATTACAAGTACTATAATACATACACAAATCAGTTCAATGTTATATATTAAAAGCATGCAGAAAGAAAAACAACCAATCAGATACAATATTCCAGAAAGAGAAAAAAAAAGCAGAGTGAAAATATACCTTTCCAAGAAGAGAATCATAGCTTGGAGGAACAACATAGTCGGGATATACATGGCTATCCATCCTAACAAAAGGACCTCCAGATGGCAGATACGATGTTATTCTTCCTGTTATCGCGACAGAAATATATCTTTGATCAAAGACCATATGCTAACAGTTGTTAAATGTAGCATATAAGCGGTGCAATAACATACCAGGTCCAGGTCTGAATCCTTTAAATGGGTCTTCTGCATTAATACGACATTCAATCGAATGTCCTCTAAGCACAATCTCATCCTGTAAAGAAAATCCTTCCAGATTGAAAAGAATTTCTCTATCAAAGAGCATATAATGATAGATAGACACCAGTCCTACCTGTGTATAACGCAGCTTCTCTCCCATTGCAACACGAATCTGTTCTTCAATTAAATCAACGGAGTAAATCATCTCCGTCACAGGGTGCTCCACCTATGTTAATAGCCACTCATTAACCTTCAAATGCTTCTGTAGTGGAATTATAAATATATACTTTACAGTCATGATAACTTATCAAACCTGGATTCTAGTGTTCATTTCCATGAAATAGAAGGAACCTCTCTCATCCAAAAGAAATTCCACCGTACCAACACCAATGTAACCAATGGACGCTGCTGCTGCAACTGCTGCATCACCCATGGCTTTTCGCAACTCAGGGGTCAGTGCAGGTGAAGGTGCTTCTTCCAGCAACTTTTGGTTACGTCTCTGTGGCCAAGAGAAGATTTAGTTAGACAAGAAAGTAACACTCATATTCTGTAACACAAGTTCAATTACTTCTTTTTGCATTTTCGCCTTAGCAACTACTACAGAACATTAGTGTAGCCAATCTGGCAACTGGAAGCATGTATGAATGCTATTTGGAAATATAAGTGATGAGAAGCAGTCTAAATATTTGGTCAGATTTTCTTTTGTTCTTAGATCACCAAGCAACAACAATTGATACTGGAAATGATACCTGGATGCTGCAGTCACGCTCGCCAAAGTGAACAACATTACCAAATTTATCTGCAAGAATCTAAAATCCAACAGCAGTAGAATAGATTAAAACAGTTGATAGCAAACTAAAGATTTAAAAATATTTTTACGAAGTCTAGAAAAAAAGGATAAATGTATACCTGGAACTCAATATGCCGGGGATTTTGCACGTACTTCTCCAGATAAACTCCATCATTTCCAAAAGCAGCAGCTGCCTCGCTCTTTGCTTGCTGTAGAACACCAAATTAAGCCAAATTCACGGTTGTTAAAAAATTCCTACAGATCTTTTATGGTATAATTTTCCTTAAATTTTATACCTGCAACAGTTTCACAAACTCTGACGGTTCATTAGCAAGACGCATTCCACGTCCACCACCACCTGCTGTTGCCTTGAAACCAGAAAAAGACCAGTTGTCAGATTCAATACTCAATAAGACCTTTTAAGAAGTGTGGAGATTAGCTTTGGAAAAGAAAGACAAAAGCTTCAGCTGAAATGAGAGTTAAGGTAATCACAAACACCTGAATTGCTGCTTCGAGGTACCACAGTAAATAAATAATTTACCTTGATCATTACAGGGTATCCAATCTCATCGGCAAGCCTGACTCCTTCTTCTGTGCTCTGTAATAATAAAAAAAAAAAATCAATGCACTAAAGTTCCAAGGGACACTTTGATATGACTAAACTTGAAATGCAGAACTGATGGTCAAGCATAATACCTGCAATAGTCCATCACTCCCTGGTACAGTAGGGACACCAGCATTTTTCATTGTCTCCCTGGCAGTTGATTTGTCACCCATGACACGGATGCTATCAGGCTGCAGATGATCCAGTTAGAGAGCATTCTTTTCCTATATTCTTTAAAGTTTTTCAAAACAAAACTTACATTTGGTCCAATAAAATTGATCCTGTGTTCTCTGCACATCTCTACAAAGAGAGCGTTCTCTGCAAGGAATCCATATCCAGGATGGAGCATTGTACATCCTCTGCTAATTGCAGCTGACAGAACATTCGGTATCAACAAATACCTGCACACAATTCAAAGTAAAATAGCTAATTTTCAACAATATAATATGTAGGCACTGCATTGCATGTTAAGAAAAGAAGGGGAAACTTACGACTGGTTGCTAGGAGCTTCACCAATACAAACAGCTTCATCAGCCAACTTCACATGGAGTGCATCCTTGTCTATAGTGGAGTAAACAGCAACACAAGGAATCCCCATCTCATGAGCAGTTCGGATAACACGAACAGCAATTTCACCTCTATTAGCCACGAGAATCTTCTCTCCGCTGCTGCAAGTAGCAGCAAGTGCACCACCACCACCACCACTCCTTCTCTTCACGTTCCGGCTGACCTTCAAAGTCAGAGTCTTTTGCCTCGGGAAGCTAACCGTTTGTCCCACCATGACATTACACTGGGAGCTTCTAATACTACCTCCCGACATCCCCAGGAACAAAGACTTGTGTATATACATAAGGATACAAACAAATAGTCAGAGAATTAAATAAAAACACTATACATTATAATGTTATGAATAACTTAATGATTTCATGAGAATAATAAACAAGAATGCATACACCAAATAGATTCAATCAAAGCCAATCAATTAGAAATGTTATCAGGAGATAATCAAACGGAACTATCAATTTCGGATTAAAATTTTAAACATTTAGGAAGCTAAACACCGAATAGATTCAAAACCAATCAAATTAGCAATAACCAAATGATCTCAGACGATAATCAAATGCGTCAAAAAAGCTCAAGTTCGAAGAAATGAATGTATCAACAGAAGTATCTGAACGGGAAAGAGTGAAGGGAGGTTATGTGTACTTACGGGAAGGGAGGTAACGGATTTGCAATTTGTAATCATTGAAGCGTCCATTGCTGGATAAGAGAAGCAGATCCTGATTTACAGAGGAAGCAGAATCTCATCAACAATGTAAAACCAGGAAGAAGAAGGAGGAGATAGAGAAAGCTTTCGTACCTTCTTCTTTCCTCCGAGGAGAAATGTTTCGATGTAAACAAGGGGAGGAGGGGAAGTTTGAGTTAGTGAGAGTGATTGAATCTAATTGAAAACTCAATATGTCGAATTTATTATTTTACTTTCTTACAACAACACCAGAAGCTTTGGTAGTAACATTACTTTTTGATTTGGGCTGGACCGTTAATGTTATCTCCTGTCCTTTGGGCTAGATTTTAAGACCTTCGTTTCTAATTGAACCAAAAAATAACCCAATTGATTCTGGTCTGACTTTGGTAAGTTTCCCTCAAACCGGTTAAGCAACACTAGTGCCAAACTCGAAGTGTCAAATTGCAATTAAAGAACATTTAATAGATTTTCCAGTCAATTTCCTTATAGAAACCAAACGTGGGTATTAATAAACAAGTGAAAGTAGTACATGTTGTCCAAAAATACAAGTAAAGCTTAAAATTCTCAATCAGATTAAAAAATTCAACTAATTTCGTAGAACTGAACTAAGGAATGACAGACCACGATCCGTTTGAATAATTACATACCATTAACACTAGAAAAAAATGAGAAACAAATCAGAATTTACAGATCTTTCTATTTCAAAACTATTGACAACTATGAACAAAACGACTAACATTTTTTTTTTAATAAAAACTATGAACAAAACATTCATGAACAAAAAAAAAAAAATTAACTAAGTTTTGGTCACCGGGGAGCAGCCAGATGCGGAAACTTCTTCTTGTTTTTCTTTTGGGTTTCATGTTGTGACGATCGTCTAGTTCTGCAATGTTCCTTGATCAATGGAATCAAGTACCAAACTATACAAGTGCACATGATCGATACTGTTCGTCCAAAGAACACCAAGAAGATCAAAACCAAGATTGTTGTCACGGGTAAGAAATGCTTCGGTCTCGAAATCTTCTTCAATACACAGCTCTGTTTTTGCTCTGTTACCAACTCTGTATTCTTTATTTCTTTCACCTCCTCTACTTTTGTTTCGGTCTTGACCTTTAAATCATCTAGAGAATCCTTCTTCTTGGTTATCTTCTTTGTCTTGATCATGATAGGGACGCACTCTCCGGAGCTTTTGAACACAAACCGAACAAGAGGCGGTCCATCTGAGTCGAGTCTCGTTGCGTAAATGCTCTGTCTCTTCTCGTCTAGCTCAGAGAGAAGTGCTGAGAACTTTTCAAGTCCAAGATCTGAATAAGGGTTCTTGTTTCCTTTCCTTGATCTCTTCCTTGACGAAAATAGACTCACCATTTAAGAGATTGAACCTTTTTTTTTTTTTAATTGTGATGTTGTTGGTAGGGTTTAGTATTGTTGGGACAAGAGAGATGGCTTTATTGTAGTGATAATGAGACTTGTCTTTAAAACTAGATGTGATTTCTCGTATAAACAAATAGTTTGGTGATTTGACCAGATCTCATTAAATGTTTATAAGATTGTTCGGATCACGTACTTTAGACACTTTTTTTTGTCCTGGGCACGAATAGAATAGTTTCCATCTTAATAAGAAAACGTCATCTCAGATGTATTCTGGCTGACCGTAGTGGTGGTTGACTTTCTTGCGGAAGAAGTAAAGACTTTTTTTCCATGATGGCCCTACTTTTATTCAAACATGGGATGTTTTTTTTTTTTTTTTTTAAGTTTAGATTTAGATGACACTTCAGATAAAGTGGATTAGTAAACAAAAAAAAAATCCAATGAAAAAGCAACAAACCATGTATTGACGATAAGAAAAAGAAAGCAAAGCATGTGATATATGGGATGCTAATTACAAACTTATATTCGTCTGGGGGCTTTGAAGATAACACAGATTGAACAAACTTATGTTTGTTCGATTCGGTAAATTAGGTTTGGTGCAATTTGATTTATGAATGTGAAAAAGAGGTCATAGAGCGTTCACAAAATATCCGTATATTTTATAGTAGTCAACTAGTCATGACGCGTTTAACTGATAGGGTAAATTAGGTTTGGTGCAATTTAATTTTCTTGAATCACATTCTTCAGCAATGTAATCTACTCTCTTTGGTATGATGCAGCGACTTTCACATAAGCTTTGCCATATTGGTATTTGTCCTAATGCATCTCTTGCAGAGCTCAGGCGTTGCAATATCTCTGCTAGGTCTCAATATAATGATTCCCTCTTCACAACCAAAAGGTGGACGTGCCGGAGTGGTTATCGGGCATGACTAGAAATCATGTGGGCTTTGCCCGCGCAGGTTCGAATCCTGCCGTTCACGTTTTTTAATTTTACATTTTCGACTGTTTATGAACCGTATTATTGGCTGGCCGATCTAACTTGAGTAACACTATACTCCGGTTAATGTTCAATATAAGCCCATTTATGGCCCATCTTACGGGTCTATAAATATCTTCTCTTCTTCCTCGTCGCTCTTTTCATTTTCTCCGACAGTCTCTCTCTCGGACCAACTCCTGTAATTGATTCCGGAGATTGTTCGTCGATACTCCCTTGCGTATTTATTTTTGTCAGGTAACCTTTGTTTCATATTGCCTTTACTTTCATTTGATTGCGATTCGTTTGCTTGTTTTTCCCTTCTTTGATGCATTAGTTTCAAAGCAAGATTATGTGTTCTTACCTGTGAATCTTGTAACCTGATGATACAGAGCATAATTCATGTATTTTTAGACCTAATTAATTTTAAATGGCTTGTAGATGTGTAAAGATTTAATTATGACAGAGATTGGTTTGTATTTCATGTTATGTTGAATTATCTGGGGAATATATTTATTTTTGGACAATCACATGTCTGAGAGATTACCAATTGCTACTATCTGAATATTTTTATCACTGGCTTCTCTGTGTGTTTAGGACATTTTGTGATTGGTTACTTGTACACCCAATCGCTCCCACAGTACAGGATCTGGTTCTGTATTTGTTTAATCAGAGAAGAAGATGAGCTCTCAGTTCAGGAGAGATAGGTCCCGCTTCAACCCTCAGCAAACATGGGTTCCTAGAGGCTCATCTACCACCATAGCAGTTGTAAATGAGCCTTCCCTTCCTCCTACTAATAATACACAGGGAAGAAGTTCAGAAAGCCTTGACGCTGGTGCTACTACTTCACATCATGTTCATCTGCAAAGGCATCATAACGGTTCTGGAAATGTCGTTGGTCCTCCTCCACCTAATCGACAAAGAAGGAATAATAATCCTCAGCGAACTTTGCCTGATAATCGCCAAGGAGTTGCATCTAGGAATCAGGGGAAAAGGGTAGTTAAGGAGGAGAATATTCTGTTGTCAGACCCAAACTTGCCTCAACTTGTTCAAGAGATACAAGAGAAGCTGGTTAAGAGTTCTATTGAGTGTATGATTTGTTATGATAAGGTTGGGAGGTCTGCGTATATATGGTCTTGTTCCAGCTGTTACTCCATTTTCCATATGCATTGTATCAAGAGATGGGCTCGAGCACCAACTTCCATTGATTTATTGGCTGAGAAAAACCAAGGCGATAATTGGAGATGTCCAGGTTGCCAATATGTACAGTTAACGTCATCAAGAGAGATTTGTTATCGGTGCTTTTGTGGGAAGAGAAAAGATCCACCGTCTGATCCGTATCTGACTCCACACTCATGCGGGGAGCCGTGTGGGAAGCCTCTGGAGAAGGAGTTTTCTGCTGAGACGGCTAAAGAGGATCTATGTCCTCATGTCTGTGTCTTGCAGTGTCATCCTGGTCCATGTCCTCCTTGTAAGGCCTTTGCTCCACCTCGTAGTTGTCCTTGTGGTAAAAAGATGATTCATACTAGATGCTCTGAGAGGAGATCGGTTCTTGTTTGTGGGAAGCATTGCGAGAAGCTTCTCAACTGTGGGCGTCATCAGTGTGAAAAGACATGTCACGTTGGCCCTTGTGATCCTTGTCAGGTACTGGTAAATGCCACATGTTTCTGCAAGAAAAAAGTGGAGACTGTCGTTTGTGGAGATATGAATGTGACGGGAGAGTTGAAAGCAGAAGACGGTGTATATTCGTGCAGTCTTAAGTGTGGGAAGCGGCTTGGATGTGGTAGCCATTTCTGTTCTGAGGTTTGCCACACTGGACCTTGCGGAGACTGTGACTTACTACCAAGTAGAGTGAAGAGGTGCTATTGTGGGAAAACACTGTTAGAAGAACAGATGAGAGGGAGTTGCTTGGATCCAGTTCCTTCTTGTTCAAACATGTGCCGGAAGCTTCTTCCTTGTGGGTTACATACTTGCAACGAGGTGTGCCATGCAGGTGCTTGCTCTCCTTGTTTGGTCCAAGTCAACCAGAAATGCCGGTGTGGGTCAACATCTAGGACTGTGGAATGCTACATAACAACATCTTCAGAGACTGAGAAGTTTGTGTGCGCTAAACCATGTGGGCGTAAGAAAAACTGTGGGAGGCATAGATGTAGCGAGCGTTGCTGCCCGAACGCTAAGACTGGCGATTGGGACACACACCTCTGCCAATTACCTTGTGGGAAGAATCTTAGGTGCGGGCAGCATTCTTGTGAATCGTTATGTCACAGTGGCCATTGCCCTCCTTGCTTAGAGGTGATATTCACTGATCTTACATGTGCTTGTGGAAGAACTTCGATTCCTCCACCACTACCATGTGGGACACCTGTTCCTAGCTGCCAGCTTCCATGCTCGATTCCTCAGCCGTGTGGCCATTCTGCTACTACTCATGGATGCCATTTTGGAGATTGCCCTCCTTGTTCTACTCCAGTGGAAAAGAAATGCGTTGGTGGTCATGTGGTTCTGAGAAACATACCTTGTGGGTTGAAAGACATTAGATGTAACAAGATTTGTGGAAAGACGAGGCGCTGTGGTATGCATGCTTGTGCGAGAACTTGTCACCTGGAGCCTTGTGACACTTTCAATGAATCTGAAGCAGGTCTGCGTGTTACATGTGGTCAGGCGTGTGGGGCTCCTAGAAGAGATTGTAGGCACACTTGTGCAGCACTCTGTCATCCTTCTCAGCCATGCCCTGACTCAAGATGTGAATTTCCAGTCACTATTACATGTTCCTGTGGTCGCATAACAGCTACAGTTCCCTGTGATGCTGAAGGAGGAAGCGGCAGCAATTCTCTTTATGAAGCCTCTGTTTTGCAGAAGCTTCCAACGACGCTACAGTCACTTGAGTCAGGTGGAAACCGAATCCCTCTCGGTCAGAGAAAGCTTTCATGTGATGATGAGTGTGCTAAGCTGGAGCGTAAGCGGCTTCTTCAGGATGCGTTTGATATCCCTCCCCCAAATCTAAACTATGTACATTTCAGCGAGAACTCTGCTATGACAGAGATTATTTCAGACATCTATAGACGTGATCCGAAGTGGGTACTAGCTGTTGAAGAGCGGTTCAAGTTCCTTGTACTTGGGAAAGCCAGAGGAAGCACAAGTTCCCTCAAGGTCCATGTCTTCTGCCCTATGCAAAAGGATAAACGAGACACGGTTCGGCTTCTAGCTGAGAGGTGGAGACTTGCAGTTAAGAACGCAGGGTGGGAGCCAAAACGGTTTACAGTGGTTCACGTGACACAAAAGTCAAAACCGCCAACACGTATCATTGGGGCTGTCTCACTAGGCGGGCCCCACCCACCGTCCTTTGATCCCCTTGTGGATATGGATCCTAGGCTTGTGGTTTCTTTACTTGATCTCCCGAGGGAGGCAAATATTAACGCTGTAGTACTGAGATTTGGAGGTGAATGTGTGCTTGTTTGGCTGAATGACAAGAACGCTTTGGTCGTGTTCCACGACCATGCTCGAGCAGCCACTGCCATGAGGAGACTGGACCACGGTTCTGTATACCATGGAGCTGTAATTGTCCAGAACGGCGCACAATCTCCATCACTCGTTAATGCATGGGGGAAATTACCCGGAAGCTCATCCTCTGATGTGCAAAAAGCAAATCCATGGAAGAAAGCAGTGATTCAGGAGAGTGATGAAACCTGGGGAGCTGAAGATTCCTTCATTAGAGGATCATCTACTGATATTCAACCCTCTACGTGGAGACCAGCAACGAGCAACACACCGACAGTTAACCGTTGGAGTGTATTGGAGCCCTAGAAGCTCAATATGAAGTCACTGTGACTCTGATCTTTCTGTTTCTTTGCTAACGGCAGGTTGTTCAGACGTGTATAAAGCTAAGGGTCTATGCCTCATGTCAACGACGTGGAGTTTCTGTCTTGGTGTCTTTGACGTTAGGTTGGTTATAAGTTATAAAACTAGTTGATTGTTTAGTTGGAGATATTGCGAAACGCATGTCTTTTTAGTAGCAGATGAAACTAGTTCTGTTATTGACCTTCAACGTTGAGAATAGAGGAGACATATAAGTTTCAGTGAACACACATGTAGCGGAATGCTAATTAATATCCCAAAAAAAAGCACAGATTTGTTCATAACGTTACAAGTAAAACCTAAAAAGCAAAGTATATTGATGAACATAGTCAAAAAGAAGAAGATGCAGCTCAAATAAAGAAAAGCTTGCTTAAAGAAGATGCAGCTTAGAGAGAAGATTCTCAAACTTTTGAGAACTCTTCTAAGGAGACACTAATCTCACACGTTTGGCCTTGACATACTCAACAAAAAAACGGCTTCGACTAATAAACCCAATTAACACGTAAACACTAATTGGCACTGTCTCGTAGTAAGGTAGAAAGAAAGTAAACCTCTTCAGAGTAGTCAGAAGAGTTCCTGAGTTAATTGATGATAGTTCACGAAATCAATCCCAATAAGTCTGACGCAACCTATGAAGCACCGGGACAGATAGACATGGCCAAACTTAAAATTTGTGGATACGTGGACGGCATGCGTATATATATATATATAATAATAAAATACCATTATAATATTTTATGTAAAATAAAACAACATTATAATATTTTAAGTAAAATAAAAAAATAAACTAGTTAATAATCAAATCCGTTCTCCAATTCTGATCTCCAATTCTGACGTTTCTAGTGAAAGATTTGCCACTTCTAAATATCTCACATCTTCCATAGAATCAAAATCACGTCCACTAACATCTCATATTTGTCTTTTTATCTTCACATAGAACAAAAAACTAATTTTGAGTATGACTTGGATTCAACTTATTCCGTCTAAGTGAATTAATGAATAAGTAGATACACCAATTACGCTCGGCACATAAAAATGAACTAGGTTGTCCAAGCAACCTAAAAACCAAAGTGCATGTTAAATCCTCATTTTTTAGATTCCATAGTAAACATCATCGAAATGCATGTTAAATCCTCAAAAAAAAAACAGTTCTTATCAAGATCAGAGCATATTCATTCATAACCTTAAGTTGATCATCAATACTCGGAAACAGTCTTTGAAAATACTTCATTCTCTCACTTGAGATATTTAGATCTCTATGTGGACCAAATCTTGCAGAATCTTCACTTAGTCATCCATCACTATAAAATCTACAACACAAAACATGTTTTATATGAGGAAACTAACCAAAACGGAAAAAAGATAGTTTAAAATCATATACCTTAAATTTAAAGTGTGAGCTAAAGAATGCAGTTTTTTTTTGTCCAACGATCCACTAAAATCTCATAAAAACCTTTTGTATAAATGACTAACTTCAAACATTGGATGTTTCTCTTTTTTATAGATCTTAAATTTCACTTTCTCAATCATAAAATCCCACATCTCATATACCAAATGGAGACATGGTTTGTCAAGATCTTGTGAATTCAATAATGTATGACACTTGTTCCCACCAATCATTATTAAGAATCTTCTTCTTTACTAAAGTTGCTTTCTCCACATCATCTAATCTATAAGTATACAACTTTTCACTTACGACCATAGCTTCAAGGTCTCTTTTGATAAACTTTAGTTTCTTAAGCATCACAAATAATAGAAACAAAACTTGTATCGGCAACTGTAACCAATTTGAGTGGAGAAAACTTACTAAAGATGGTTAGTCTCATGTTGTAATTGATGATGAAATATTTTATTGAAAGTGCATCTCCATGTACAAAATCTGCACGCGTATAACCCATCTTTCTAAAGACGTGGTCTCTGTTTGTAACTGAATGAGCAGAGATGACTTGTAGATCTTTAGCAGTAGCTTATCTTATCATAATTATGTGGTATATGAGATATTGTTTTGTTTGTAGATCTTTTGCTTTATGGAATGGAATTATCTTCACCTCGTTAATAATTACAAACACTGCTAGAACCAACTCGACAACCTCTCATAAGAGTCATTGCCCAACCAACTTCTTTGGAAGGGATATCCTAAAAAAACAGCTGCCATTATTGCTCCATCTGTGGTGAATCTGAGTACAACTCAAGGTTTGTTTAGTATTTGATGAATTGTAGTTTCAATTTTTTTTAATCAGTAACCTCATAGTAATCTTCTCCAGGCTTATATGGTTCTGGAATAATTTTCGGTTAAAAAAGCAAGATTTTAACTTACGCTCATATTATTCTCAATGTGGACAAGGTTAGCGCCAGTGTTGTCTATACGGCAAAGAGAAATGCGGTAAGATGTTCTCAATTTATTACATATACAAGTCCAATTAAATGTGTGAAAGACAACTCTGTTGTCTGAGTATATTTGGTGATTTTTATTTAGATTTCTGGTGAGATGCTTGATGAGACTGTGTCTGACTATGACTCAGACTACGATCTTGCTTTCTGGTGAGATGTTTTATGAGACTGTGTCTGACTATGACTCAGACTACGATCTTGCTCTAGTCGAGTCAGACATGGTATCTGTCTCTCCAGCGAAGTTTGGATCCTTGAAGGATTTTTCCGTTGGAGATATTGTTGTTGTATGTTCGCAACTCAGGGTATACCAACACCTTTTTAATGGGAATAATCAGGTATTTGTTTTGTTTTCAGTACTTTACAGCTTTTGTTGTTGATTTATCTAATATATGTTTTGTTTTGTTTGTTTCCAAGTTGTCTTAAACGCACCAATGAGAAAATTCGTCTAGAAGGGAAATGCAATGTCTATCTACATATTGATTGCTGGTTGGAAAAGGTATTGTAGATAGACTTTTGCAAATTTATTTTTGTTTTTATTGCATTGTATTTGCTGACTTTTAATATTAAAAGGGGAGCATTGGAGGGCCTATTATTAACCTTGAGGGAGAAGTCATCGGCTTGTAGACCACCTTTGGAATTGACCATAAGGGTGTTGACCGATACACATTGTTCTGAAAGTGGTGAAGGAAAAAAAATGGTAGATGTCAAGAGTAAAATCTTAAGTAACCACTATCAATTTGTCATGTATCAACATACTTTTAGAGTTCATGCGTAGTTGTAGTTCGCTGTTATGTTTTGATAAGGAACATAGCTGGTTTAAGTTCATTCATGGGAACGGATTGATCCATAAAGGTAAGCATGAAACTACTTAGTTGTGAACCTGGAAACTTTATAGTTTATATGAACTTCTCTTGTAGATTTGAAACCTCTTTTATTGCAAGTACATCTTCATGTACAGAATCTACACGCGTATAACCAATCTTTCTCAAGATTTGGAACAACGAATCAAGCCTCAAGGCAAACTCAACCCTCCGTGGTTCTCCACCAACAACCATATTATTAGTTACCTCCACTGAGATTCACAATGAGTCCACCAGAATTACCTCACTAGAAGAAATGAAAATTAGTTAAACCAACTAATAAAAATGTAAATAAATCGTTTATGTGAATTTTACAGTAAAAGAAGCACAATACCTAAACTACTTCAATGCCAAAATTGTATAGAAATATATAGAGAGAGGGAGAATGTAAGTTTGACATACCCCATGGGTAGCTTCAAGATGTTATTGCTCGTCGATATGGTGACACAGTTCGACTAAATATTAACCCATCTTAAATCATTAAACCCTAGAGTCAACAACTGAGAGGATTTTAAATTTTGGATAATAACTAGATTGATGATACTTCGCAGTTGTAGCTGATGATCAATAGCTCCTGGAAGAACCACAAGAGGAAACTGCCCACATATCGTCTTCCATCTTAGATTCCACCAACAAAAAAACCTTAAATAATCTCAGACAAAAGTTTTACTTCACGTGTCAGCATTTTTATGGTGACTTATTGGACAAGAATACGAATTATAAAACTGCCGTTAAATACTAAGCCGAATTTTAAATACTTATTGGGCCTTCCGAAAAGACTCGATCTCAAAAATTAACCTTGGTGTAAACATCCAAAACTAAAAGATAAAATTATCTCAGAACTAAACCTTTAATTGATTTTCATTTTGTGGAGGAAGATGAACAAAGAGAAAGTGATGATACTTACGATGATGATATTTGTTGGGTCCTTCCTCCAAGCATCACGGGGTTTAGCCGCCGATTATGGTGAAATTACTTTGAATGGTCCTGGTTTCTTCTGCACATTCGTCACAGTTGCTCCTAATACCGGTAAGAGTAGTTTTTCCTTTTTATCTTTGATCAATTTGTTTAATTATTTTTTTGTTGTTGATGGGGGTTGGTTTCATGCAGCTGATGCTGTGGAAATCAGAGTGTATGAAGCAGATGAAGTGGTTTATATGGCTGAGGCACTCCAACCATGCCAACATTTGATCAAGCAAAGAGGAGAGTTGATGATGTTACCAACAGCACCAAGTAGAGAGCTTAGGTCCTTCTTTGTAACAAAAGAAACTGTACAACAAGTAAAGAGGTTCGCTTGTCGGCCAGGTGTACAAGTCATGCGTGTCCCTATTCGTCATATTTATCATATTCATCCTCACATGTGGTACGGATTACTCATCCAAGGTGTTATCGTCTTCACCTCCTTCTTCTTCCTCTTGTACCGTTCTCAGTGTTAGATAAAATAAAATAACATAAAATAAAAAAGAGATTATAATGATGCTTTTTGATGTTAGGACTTGACCCCTTTACATCCTCCTTGTAATGCAACTAACAATCAATGAATTGATCTCTCTCTATTCCATGTTCCTTTTTTTTTATTCCAATTTGTTTTATAACATGTGAGACATACAAATCTAATTTGGCTCCAGAATCAGATTATGGTTGTTGCAGTTTGCATGGTATAGATCAATTATAGATTTGGTTGATGTTAGAAAATGTTTAACGTAAATACGAACTTTTATTTGTTTTCAATGATTTTGCATTTTCATGTTTAGTTTTGAAGTTTGGACATTAGTTTTAAATGAGTTTTGAGTACTCTCTCATATGTTATGATGATTACTAAAGCAAGTAAAGCGTTGTGCTTACCACTAAACCATGGAAAAGCTTATGAATGAATCATCGAATTTTGTAAACTTTTTTTTTGTAATCATGGAATCTTCAAAGGATTATGCATCGACGGATAAATACCAAAAAAAGAAATCATGTAATAAATGTTTCCGAAATATTTGAACAGAAATGGCACCAAAAAAACAATAGTAGACATTGATCTGATGTAAGAATACAGTGAAGTTTGTTACAACACAATAAAAAATATAAAAAAAGACAATCAAAAGAGTTTATGGTGTTGGAGCTTTTTGGATTGCATTAGAATCTCCCAAGATTCACTTTCTCTTTGTGTTGGTGTATCTATAATACCAAAACTTTTGTATGACAGAAGAAGAAGCCATGCCCTTGTTTTCTTATCCTGACCTACCTGTCACGCCGGTCCTTGGGGAGTAAATCCATCTTCCTTAATCTGAACCTGAACCTCAAGCCTACATTAACAACAACAACACAGAAGAACACATCAGATTCATAACATCTTCGTCGCAGTTGATATGATATGTGGTCTTATTAACATCTGTAACATTACCGGTGTTTCTAGAGAAGAACTTTAGAACCTCATCAATGATGATAACCTGTAGTTTTTACAAAAAAAAAAGATTATCGTTCAAGGAATCTCTTCTCATATCTGAATGATTAGTCTACTGTCATGCTATTCCTTGAAGAATATGCAACCCTATGAGAACTAAGGGGGTCTATGGCAAGGTTCCACTGTGAGGGTGTTAATAGACTATGAAGAAGAAGCTCAAAAGTGAGAATACTTACTGGAAAGGAAAGATACAGAACAGCGGTCCATTCAGCCCAGGACAATGGCACGACCTATAAAGCAGTGAAACATGAGAGAGATGAAATGAAGAAAGCGGGTACAGCAGTTTTTGTTCAAGGTTTATGGAAGAGAGGAAACTTACAGAAAACAAGACTGCTAGTGGATGAACGTATAATATTAGCATGTGCAGAACCATCGTCAGGATAATTGAACCAACGAGCCATAAATTACTCCTTGGAGTTATAACCCTGCAATCACATTCCTTCTTCATCAATAAAGCTAATAGTATAAATGATCACATAAACTTGTCAAGTTGCAGAATCCAATGTTTATTGATGGATGTCACTCCATCGACATTTACCACTTCGGTAAATAGATGTATAGTGACTAGTTTATAAAACGGCAAATGCACACACTATGATGCTGTAGCGAATCATAACAGAAATAAGCTATTAACAAGAAGAGATAGAAACAAAGGTATACTTACAGAAGGGATTGATTTTCGCTGAGGTTATTTAGAGCATTAAACATCTCTACTACAACAAGTACTGTCATCGCCACGGTTGATGGATGTCGATCCTCAAATATGCTGCAGGGATAACTTGTCTCTCTCAGTGCGCACGTTTCAAAATTCATCTGAAATGAGATTGTTTCAATCTCAGATTAATATAATTCAAAAAGATTCCACTTGTAACAAGATTGAATGTATGTGAATCATATGATAAGGTTAGACAAATAAATGGTGAAAAATGCACACACAAATATCAGATTCAGCAACGAAAAGATCTATAAGATGTAGATGGAGATAGAATCTAACCAGTTCACTGTAAGTAAGTTTAGGACCACCATCAGAGTAAATAAACCACCATATAAAGCCAGCAACAGTTGCCAGGCCAACATAAACTGCAGGAAAAAGAAAGAAAGATAAACTAGTCAACCAGATAATCCATGTACAGCCAGCAACTAATGCTTGAAGGCAGTGGCCTTTCACTACTTGCCCAAGAAGATTCAAATATCTTAGTGTCGCATAGATTTTTTACTACTTACCTCCGATAACCAAATAGCGGAAGAATAACCACCCAGTGACCACTGCTTCACCAACCTGAATTTCAACAACAATCAAAACAAAAAGAGAAGATTCCATGTCTGAGGGGTTTGGAAAGAAACTTGCACAGTACAGGAAAGTGTTAACTAAAAAGTTCTAAGTCTCTCCTTGAAGTTAAATGTCATCAATGAAACTTATAAAGTTTGGAAGGACCTATAAATCATGCGACGCCAACTATTTGCAAAGTACTCAACAAGGTGTTACTGTACAATTACGTCTCTTACCTTTCGGGGTTTTGCCTTCATAACATCGGAATCTTGTTTGTTAAAGCCAATGGCAGTGGCAGGCAATCCATCCGTTACCAAATTGACCCACAAAAGTTGAACCTGCAATGTTTTACGAATGACTCATAGATTTAGACAACCTTTATAAAAGTAAAATTTGCAGATAAGACTGTCATAATAGTGGTGTGATTGGACTAGAAACTCCATTGAGAGGAAAAAGATACTTCCAGGCTAAACAAACTTACAGGAGCCAGGGTATCAGGGATTCCCAGTACAGCTGCTACAAATATACAGACCACTTCCCCGATATTTGAAGAGATCATATATCTAATGAATTGCTTAGTGTTATTATATATAGCCCTTCCTTCCGCAACAGCCTGTCAAGAAGATAATATTTAGGAGTTGCATTAATGAAGATATTGCAGTGTGATCTGTACCCTTGTTATTAATTTAGAGAAATTGGCAAATAGCATAATTGGCCCACGCGGAACTACTATGAGAAGTGTGCGTAAATATCAACCACAAAAAAAAAATAACTATAACAAAAATGCAAGTAAATAAACATACCGCAACTATTGAAGCAAAATTATCATCAGCCAAAACCATATCTGAAGCGCTCTGCAATGCAAAAAAGCGAGAAAAATACGTTAGATACAGAAGAGCATAGAGATAACTACCCCTGGCAAGCCAGTTTGTTGAAGTAATGATGACTCCCATATAAGTAGTTTAAGTATTCTGTGATCTCAGGAATTTTCTATAGCAGGAACGTTGTATTATACCACTACGATGGTAACAGCAAAATCCGGAAACTTTTCAATAATATTTTTCGTTTTTAGTGCAACTTAAAGATGCAAAAAATAACGACTGCATAAGGATCTCGTAGCTAGAGGACAAGATTCCCATGTTAACGGATTACGTATCTGAACGAGAGGAAGAGATCAAGATAAAAAGCACATGGGTAAGAGAGAATGACTGAGCTTTAAAGATGAGAATAAGGTTTAACAGTATCAAAAATGGTACCTTCGCTACAGCTGTTCCAGAACCCATGGCAATCCCAATGTCAGCTTTCTTCAGTGCAGGGGCATCATTTACGCCGTCACCAGTCATTGCCACCTAGGAGAACAAGGTTCATGTGTTCGACAGTTAGAAGCAAGAACTTTTCCTCTAATAAGTAAAAATGTTAACAAACAAAAAGAGTTGGAACAAAGCAAGTAATTCAAAATGTGAATGCACTCAAACGCAGATAAAGCAAAAGAAGTGTAATAGATGACAACTTAGTGAGCAAGGGGCATTACCACTTCATTTTGGTTCTGTAGGGCTTCAACAAGCATCCTTTTGTGGGAAGGTTCTACCCTACAAGCAGAACATTATGGTTTCTCATAAACGATTATTACTAGAGCTTTAGAGAAAGACATAAATACGCGTGATGATTAAACATACAGTTCCTTGCTCCTAAAAACACTATCATTCAACATACCTGGAAAAAATTGTCATCCGTTGCAATGCTGTAGTTTGTTGCATCGCTGGAAGCCGTTCAAATTCAGAAGCCGTATAAGACAGACCAGAAAAGTCGACCAGATTGTCGAATGCCCCTATTTTTCTACATATTGACTCTGCTGTGGACTGAAGTTTCAAGGTAATCAGAATAAGCACCCAAAAGGATATAGGTACTTAGCAAACTGCATGTGCTCAGTTTTCTATTACCTTGTTATCCCCAGTTACAACTATAACACGAATCCCGGCAGTCATACACGCAAGCATAGCATCTCTCACTTCTTTTCTTGGTGGATCAAGCATTCCCACCTTCAAAAGGAAACACAAGATGAGCAAGTCTTCGATAGTATAAGAAAAATAATGAATATTCAATAAACCCATTTGAGTCCATCATTTTTGAAAGAACGGCGTACCAACCCAATAAACGTCATGTCGTTCTCATTATCATAGGAAATAGTTTGTTGACCATGGGGCACGGTTTTGAAGGCTAATGCTAAGCATCTCAACGTTTCATCTCCAAAACTGTTGCAAAGATGCATGGTCAGAAAAAGGGACAAACACTTCTTTCAGATCTTAAGAGCAAAATTACCATTAGAAGTGACAATACGAGCATCAAAAGATAACCATCATGAAGTAATAATGAAATGAAACCGATTTTTCATTAAACGAGTTGACGTCTAACCTGTGGACCCTCGACTCAAGCTCTGCACGGGCAGCAGAAGTTAGAGGAACAACAGAACCATCACTGTTGCAGAGAAGTTTAGTACACCTAGCAAGTATACTTTCTGGAGCACCCTTTGAGAACATTACATCTATTTGATTTTGGCTACATAGGACGCTCATCATTTTGCGGTCACGTGTAAACTCCAAAACATAAACCTGAAAAGATTTATGATAAAAATGGCCATCAATTACTCATACTAAATTACCACGAATTGTTTGAAACATAATGTTCCGAGGTCATTATCAACTTATATCTGTGTC